GGCGCCCAGGACGAACTATCAATTTTGCACCCCCACCCCAAAATCAGGTCTATATAGGCCTATATTTTTTCGCGATGGTAAAATGCAACCGAACCTCCCGAATTTGGAAAGGTCGGGGCGCTTTTGAACAAGTCACTTTGTCTTTTTTAATTTGGTGTCACATAATTGATGTAGAAAACGATTGAACACGTTCGTAATTTTAATTTCGAATATTTCAAACGGCTATCTAATTTTAATAGGCCTTGTAAGTCTCGTTTTCTCTGACTTTGAATTAGAAATATGTCCTGGTGTACAGAGTTTTGTAATGACGGGGTGTTTAAAGTATGTCACTTGTTTGGTAAGTTTTGATGAATCGTTTAGATTTGGGAGTAACGGTAGGCTTTTGCTGATATGGTTTCGTAGGTATAAAGTATCGAAGTGTTAAAGTGTCATAATTTTTATTCGGCTGTTTTGTAGTTTAAGTTCTACTGGAATTTGATTGGTAACAGAGAAATGAGAATGCAGGGGATGAAGTATCGTAGTTCGGGAGTATTGATTCTTGTTGTATATCGAGTAGTCGAGTTTAGCGTAAGTTAATTGATTTCAATTCAGTACGGAAAACACTACAAAGAAAGGTAGGCGTTCTCTAGTGGAAAAATCCTTAATTTTATTAGGAATCTATATTACCTCTCTTAAAGTATTAAAATATAATTTAAATAGGATGGAATTTATACCTAACGGTAAACATTTTTTTTTTCAAATAATAACTTTTTAAAATATTTAATCAATAATTCTAGCAATGTCTAAAACAGCCAGCCGTGTATGATTTTTAGCGCAATTTCCATACTGGCAATTGCGTTTAATAATGCGTCATTTCTGGGTGGGTGGATGGATGGATGGATGGATGGATGGATGGATGGATGGATGGATGGATGGATGGATGGATGGATGGATGGATGGATGGATGGATGGATGGATGGATGGATGGATGGATGGATGGATGGATGGATGGATGGATGGATGGATGGATGGATGGATGGATGGATGGATGGATGGATGGATGGATGGATGGATGGATGGATGGATGGATGGATGGATGGATGGATGGATGGATGGATGGATGGATGGATGGATGGATGGATGGATGGATGGATGGATGGATGGATGGATGGATGGATGGATGGATGGATGGATGGATGGATGGATGGATGGATGGATGGATGGATGGATGGATGGATGGATGGATGGATGGATGGATGGATGGATGGATGGATGGATGGATGGATGGATGGATGGATGGATGGATGGATGGATGGATGGATGGATGGATGGATGGATGGATGGATGGATGGATGGATGGATGGATGGATGGATGGATGGATGGATGGATGGATGGATGGATGGATGGATGGATGGATGGATGGATGGATGGATGGATGGATGGATGGATGGATGGATGGATGGATGGATGGATGGATGGATGGATGGATGGATGGATGGATGGATGGATGGATGGATGGATGGATGGATGGATGGATGGATGGATGGATGGATGGATGGATGGATGGATGGATGGATGGATGGATGGATGGATGGATGGATGGATGGATGGATGGATGGATGGATGGATGGATGGATGGATGGATGGATGGATGGATGGATGGATGGATGGATGGATGGATGGATGGATGGATGGATGGATGGATGGATGGATGGATGGATGGATGGATGGATGGATGGATGGATGGATGGATGGATGGATGGATGGATGGATGGATGGATGGATGGATGGATGGATGGATGGATGGATGGATGGATGGATGGATGGATGGATGGATGGATGGATGGATGGATGGATGGATGGATGGATGGATGGATGGATGGATGGATGGATGGATGGATGGATGGATGGATGGATGGATGGATGGATGGATGGATGGATGGATGGATGGATGGATGGATGGATGGATGGATGGATGGATGGATGGATGGAAGGAGGGATGGAGGGATGGAGGGATGGAGGGATGGAGGGATGGATGGATGGATGGATGGATGGATGGATGGATGGATGGATGGATGGATGGATGGATGGATGGATGGATGGATGGATGGATGGATGGATGGATGGATGGATGGATGGATGGATGGATGGATGGATGGATGGATGGATGGATGGATGGATGGATGGATGGATGGATGGATGGATGGATGGATGGATGGATGGATGGATGGATGGATGGATGGATGGATGGATGGATGGATGGATGGATGGATGGATGGATGGATGTGTGTCCGCAGCTTTAAGTCGTATCTCCTCCTCAACGAAGCAATATCGAGGACTAGTTTCAAAAGCAAATATGTTAAGCAAGTTCCAAGGATGATTGTGGGCCAAAAAAATTCCCGGAATTCCTTCCTGGATTTCCCGGAAAAGCCAAAAAACCTCGAACAAATGCAGTTTTTGCTCCATATCTCGGCAACCAGACCACTTAGCGACTTGAAACATTTACCAATCGATTCTTGCCATAATTTAGACCAATATTGCCGAAGAAAGTTTTCAAAAATATCCTTTCGTTCCGTCACAAAAAATTAATTAAGAACATTTAAACTGAGCATCGTGTAGGCCTAGGATGATATTTACTACTTTTTTAAACTGAGCATCTTGTAGTCCTACTCGTTAAAATAAAACTATTTCCGTTGATATAGGTTAATATAGTTGTCTTTTTTTTTTACTTATTAATTCAAACGATATTTTTGTACCCTATTAATTTATTTATAATTTAAAAAATTAATTTAGGAAATTGCGCTTAAATTGTCACTAGACTTTAATTAACTTGTTTTTTTTTAAAGGCGTCCCTTTATTTAGGGGATCCAAAATTTTATTATAGTGATTTGACGGGCTCCATAAATGAAATGAATGTCATCAAAATTGAATAGAAGTATGTTATAATAAAGCTACTATTATTAGACTTTGAAACAAAAGCTACAGTTAAGTATTCAATAAGTAAATATATTGTTTTTACAAGTTTACATAGCTAATATAAAAGATTTGTTATAATTATTATGTAATAAAATTTAGTGCGTTTTAATGTGTTTTTCATGCATGTCTTAGTTACATTTGGTTAATTTAGCTATTCTTTTGAAAATTATTTCCCTTGAATGAATTTTTGGTATTTGGATTTTCGAATGGGAGATAATTCTTTGCTTAACTTTACATTCATTTCAAATATTCCTGCACCTTATGTTGACCGCTAACTTATAAAATACAACTTTAAGTTATTTGCTATTGCAAAAATTATATAGAGCAGAAGTTCTAAACAAAATAGTTTGGTATGGTTTTTTTAGCATTATCAAGTTGAAAAACAAATACATCAGTAGCCGTTGTAGATTGCAAAATTTAATGTTAGTAGATCTACAGTCTTAGTCGTAAATTAAACGTCTAATTAATTGTCTTTTCATATATTTCACCCTCTCCTAAAGGATTCATATATAACAATTTTAGGCTGGAATCTATAATATTTATAACCTTTTATTTTAAAAAAAACAAAAAAAAAGATGTTACATAATTACACAAAATAGACATTTTACAATTATAACTAACGACAGCCAAGCTTAAAACAGATAAGTTCCGTCTGACCCCTACACCTACCTCCCCAATGAGAGTCGTGTTCTCTGACGTCTTGATGAAGATCCCCGCCTCCTCTCCCGATGCGATCATGTTGTACTCAGGGAAATCTTGATGGATTTCATCGATCACGGTCTGGTTCGATCCTATACCTGGGTCCTGCAACATCACAAATTCTATTGGCAAGTGTTTAGCATAGGTATGTGTGTTCTAGCTGGTATAAGTGTGTAATGGTCTTTCAACTTACACATTCTATTTAATTAACATACGTGTGTGTCTTCTAGCTGGTACAAGTATGTAATGGTCTTTCTGTTTAATTAACATACGTGTGTGTTGTAGCTGGTACAATCAACACAATCTATTAACATACGTGTGTGTTCCAGTATGTAGAAGTATGCGTAGTCCTACTCACAAATTCTACCCTCAAATGTATGGATAACCTATTTTTCTGTTATCGACTTTAATAAACCGGGAGTGATCTCCCCTAAACTTTCTCGAAATATTCTTATATAAAATAACAGGGGATGGGAACTCGGGCTATAGACATGATTTTTAATCCATTTTAAATACTTAAAGTTTTAAAAATAGAATAAAATCTCGTAGACAAATTAATTGCACACCAAGTGAACGCGAAATAAAAAAGCGCATAATAGTGCGCAATATTATTATTACTTTTAAAATTTACATTAGTTTTTTGAGAAATCGGAAGTAGCGTAAAGTACTACTTACAGTCAACGGAAATGACTCAAAATTTAACAGAAGGTAGAGAATTAGATCTTTGACTTACGTATGAAATTTCATTTATCTATCTGAAATAGTACTCAAGTTATAGGCTTTTGAAAAATTCAAAGTAGGAAAAGTACCACTTCCGGTTATCGGAAATCGCTCAAAAGTTGATACGGATCTACGATTTTGATTAAATACTTATATATGAAATTTCATCAACCTAGCTGTAACGGTACTCAAGTTATCGTGTTTACACACGGACACACACACACACACACACACACAGACACACAGACATACGGACAAGATTGCAAAATTATGTTTTTCCGTATCAGTGAGATGCAAAACGTCGAGATTTGCAAAAATCTCGATTTTTTTTTTGCACGATTACAAGACTTTCTCTATACTTCGTATATACGAGAAAGTAAAAAGGTGTTTCTTACAGCTAGCAACTGTACCCTTCAAATGTAAGTTGTGACTCCTATGTACTCAATGGTCACAAAGTGCATATTGTGACTCCCATGAACTCACCACAATAGTCACAAAGTGCATTTTGTGACTCCCTTAGACTAACCACAATAGACACAAAGTACTTGTTGTAACTCCCACAATAGTCACAAAGTGCATGTTGTGACTCCCATAGACTTACCACAATGGTCACAAAGTGCATGTTGTGACTCCCATAGACTCACCACAATAGTCACAAAGTGCATGTTGTCTTTCCTGAGTTGTCTCACAAGGGCCGGAAAGTTGGCCCACTTCTTGGTGTCGTAAGTGAAGACATAAGATTTGTGGAATGTATCGACGTCTGCCCACTGGCCATCCTGTGGACAGCGGGCAGAGATTTGTTGTAAATAGCTTTGTTGCTTTGTTTCTGGGGTTTATTTCTGTCTGTTTTGTCTTTGTTTCTGTCTTTGTATCTTTGTTAATGGCTTTGTTGCTTTGTTTCTGTGGTTTATTTATGTCTGTTTTTGTCTTTGTTTCTGTCTTTCAATCTGTTGTTGTTCCTGTCTTTTTGTATATCGCGCTTTTATTCTTTAATTATGACTTTTCTATCGTCCATTGCATTAAACCCCACAAAAACTACAATCATTTTGACAAGTGACTAAACCCAGCATTAGCGCGAACTAGTTTTTGCCTAAAACCGCAGTATTTAATTTACATAAAAAAGCTCTTCATTGCATTTACTCTTCAACTATAGTAATAAACATGTATTTATATTTGCATGCTCACTACCTTAAAGCAAAGAACAAAACTCTTCTGGAAATTCTCGCATCACCTAAACTAATAAATGCATTGACATCTGCATGTTTACTACCGTCATTAATCTTGAATTTCGGTTTTCGATCAAACAACATACATCGATAACTCTCACTTTACTAGAACCACAAGGATAAGAAATATGCAGTGATATGACATTACGTAAGGAATTTTGGCCTTCATGGAACTCTCACTTTACCAGTACCACGACGATAAGAAATATGACTTTACATAAGGAATTTTGGCCTCCATGGTCCGGTTGATGACCATCTGCATGTCGCTAATGTTGGCGTAGCCCCACCTGCACAGGTGGTAGCCCAGGCTCCAGTAGGGTGGGAACACAGGTAGCCCGATAGCCTTAGAGAAATAATACAGGTGTGTTAGTACAGTTAGTAGCACTTTTATTGTGTAGGTGAGGTGAGGTGAAAAGGCTACAGGGTCTAGTTATCCAATGTAAGACTGTAGCCTTTCAAAATAATAAGTGAAATTTAAGTCTATCGGATAATAAAAAAGATTAGTCTGTCATATAATATTTAAGACTAAGTTGATCGTATAATATATAAAACGAAAATCCAAAGTATAAGCCTTTCCAAATATGCAAGACAGAAGTAGTATATTAGGTAAGGGACCTAATATACTACTGACAGATGTCTTTCAAAATAATATATAAGACAAAAGTCTATCGTGTAATATGTAAGACAAATCTAAGGTATAGTATGTAAGACAAAAGCCTTTCAAATAATATCCGAGACAAGGCAAAGGTCTATCATATATTATGTATTCCAAAGGTCTATCCAATAACATGCAAGAGAATAGTCTGTCCTGAAGAATGAAGGAATGGCATACTACCTAGCGGCATATATTATTAGAAATAGCACAACGTGCCATATGCAATGACTGTCACGGGGGGAAAGCGTATTGAAAGGGGCTGTGACTAGCGGCATACGACTTTTAGGGACCTCCGTCATTTAGGGACCTACGACCTTTAGGGACCTACTACTTTTAGGGGTTTACGACTTTTAGGGACATAAGACCTTTAGGGTCCTCCAACATTTAGGGACCTACGACTTTTAGGGATATCCAACATGTTTTCGTAGATTTATATCAGACTATAAATATTCATAAATAAGATCATTATCTATTTTTTTATTTACTCATTTCGCAAAAGCCAGTTGTGTTTAAAGACATGTTGACCAAAATTTTCTTTACGTTAATTTAGTCTTTAATAAATATATATATTGTACATGTAGAAAACATGCAGGTATAATGATACAATGTTGAGCTTAGATGAAGAGAAAGACTGACACGAACAGAATTACCTGAGTACAGGTAGAGTGATTCAGTATTGAGCTTAGATGAAGAACGAACCTACCTTTAGGTAATGTTTAACAACATCTGCCGGGGAATCCCCCAAGAAGATGTAGAAGTCCAGGACTCCCCCAATTGTCCTGTACGTGATGGCTGGGTCAGGGTGTGGCTGTAGCAGGACCTCTAGAGAGGACAGGACAATATAACAAGGACAGGACAATATAACAAGGACATGACCATAGTACATGGACGTGGCAATAGGCGGCCATTGCTCTAACCCAAATCACATGAACACAAACAAACATGACAAGTTTGATGCTATCCCAAAACATGATACCTTAAAGAGAAACATGTAAGTGCTACATCTAACGATATAATATTACAAAAACATCAAAGACTATGATATAATGTAAAACATTTTAAAAAATACTTTTTATATCTCAAAATAAAAAGAAAAACGACCTCAAAATGCAATACTATTACAATAACAAATACTCGTACATAAAAGGCTACTTCAAAACAATAGACCTTAAAGTTAAGCATAAGGCTACCCCACACCTCACCTATAGCGTTAGACTACCTCACCTAGCGTTAGACTACCTCACCTAGCGTTAGACTACCTCACCTAGCGTTAGACTACCTCACCTAGCGTTAGACTACCTCACCTATAGCGTTAGACTACCTCACCTAGCGTTAGACTACCTCACCTAGCGTTAGACTACCTCACCTAGCGTTAGACTACCTCACCTAGCGTTAGACTACCTCACCTAGCGTTAGACTACCTCACCTATAGCGTTAGACTACCTCACCTATAGCGTTAGACTACCTCACCTATAGCGTTAGACTACTTCGCCTAGCGTTAGACTACCTCACCTATAGCGTTAGACTACCTCACCTATAGCGTTAGACTACCTCACCTATAGCGTTAGACTACCTCACCTATAGCGTTAGACTACCTCACCTATAGCGATAGCCTACCTCACCTATAGCGTTAGACTACCTCACCTATAGCGTTAGACTACCTCACCTATAGCGTTAGACTACCTCACCTATAGCGTTAGACTACCTCACCTATAGCGATAGACTACCTCACCTATAGCGTTAGACTACCTCACCTATAGCGTTAGACTACCTCACCTATAGCGTTAGACTACCTCACCTATAGCGTTAGACTATCTCACCTATAGCGTTAGACTACCTCACCTAGTGTAAGACTACCTCACCTATAGCGTTAGACTACCTCACCTAGTGTAAGACTACCTCACCTATAGCGTTAGGCTACCTCACCTATAGCGATAGACTACCTCACCTATAGCGTTAGACTACCTCACCTATAGCGTTAGACTACCTCACCTATAGCGTTAGACTACCTCACCTATAGCGTTAGACTACCTCACCTATAGCGTTAGACTACCTCACCTATAGCATTAGGCTACCTCACCTATAGCGTTAGGCTACCTCACCTATAGCGTTAGGCTACCTCACCTCTAGCGTTAGACTACCTCACCTAGCGTTAGGCTACCTCACCTATAGCGTTAAACTACCTCACCTATAGCGTTAAACTACCTCACCTATAGCGTTAGACTACCTCACCTATAGCGTTAGACTACCTCACCTATAGCGTTAGGCTACCTCACCTATAGCGTTAGACTACCTCACCTATAGCGTTAGACTACTTCACCTATAGCGTTAGACTACCTCACCTAGCGTTAGGCCACCTCACCTATAGCGTTAGATTACCTCACCTATAGCGTTAGGCTACCTCACCTATAGCGTTAGACTACCTCACCTATAGCGTTAGACTACTTCACCTATAGCGATAGACTACCTCACCTATAGCGTTAGACTACCTCACCTATAGCGTTAGACTACCTCACCTATAGCGTTAGACTACCTCACCTATAGCGTTAGACTACCTCACCTATAGCGTTAGACTACCTCACCTATAGCGTTAGGCTACCTCACCTATAGCGTTAGACTACCTCACCTATAGCGTTAGACTACTTCACCTATAGCGTTAGACTACCTCACCTAGTGTTAGGCTACCTCATCTATAGCGTTAGACTACCTCACCTATAGCTTTAGACTACCTCACCTAGCGTTAGGCTACCTCACCTATAGCGTTAGACTACCTCACCTATAGCGTTAAACTACCTCACCTATAGCGTTAGGCCACCTCACCTATAGCGTTAGACTACCTCACCTATAGCGTTAGGCTACCTCACCTATAGCGTTAGGCTACCTCAACTATAGCGTTAGACTACCTCACCTATAGCGTTAGACTACTTCACCTATAGCGTTAGACTACCTCACCTAGCGTTAGGCTACCTCACCTATAGCGTTAGACTACCTCACCTATAGCGTTAGACTACCTCACCTATAGCGTTAGACTACCTCACCTATAGCGTTAGACTACCTCACCTATAGCGTTAGACTACCTCACCTATAGCGTTAGGCTACCTCACCTATAGCGTTAGACTACCTCACCTATAGCGTTAGACTACTTCACCTATAGCGTTAGACTACCTCACCTAGTGTTAGGCTACCTCATCTATAGCGTTAGACTACCTCACCTATAGCGTTAGACTACCTCACCTAGCGTTAGGCTACCTCACCTATAGCGTTAGACTACCTCACCTATAGCGTTAAACTACCTCACCTATAGCGTTAGGCCACCTCACCTATAGCGTTAGACTACCTCACCTATAGCGTTAGGCTACCTCACCTATAGCGTTAGGCTACCTCAACTATAGCGTTAGACTACCTCACCTATAGCGTTAGACTACTTCACCTATAGCGTTAGACTACCTCACCTATAGCGTTAGACTACTTCACCTATAGCGTTAGACTACCTCACCTATAGCGTTAGGCTACCTCACCTATAGCGTTAGGCTACCTCACACCTCACCTATAACGTTAGACTACCTCACCTATAACGTTAGACTACCTCACCTAGCGTTAGGCCACCTCACCTATAGCGTTAGACTACCTCACCTATAGCGTTAGACTACCTCACCTAACGCTAGACTACCTCACCTATAGCGTTAGACTACCTCACCTAGTGTTAGGCTACCTCATCTATAGCGTTAGATTACCTCACCTATAGCGTTAGGCTACCTCACCTATAGCGTTAGACTACCTCACCTATAGCGATAGACTACCTCACCTAGCGTTAGGCTACCCCACACCTCACCTATAGCGTTAGACTACCTCAACTAGCGTTAGGCTACCTCCCCTATAGCGTTAGACTACCTCACCTATAGCGTTAGACTACCTCACCTATAGCGTTAGACTACCTCACCTATAGCGTTAGACTACCTCACCTATAGCGTTAGACTACCTCACCTATAGCATTAGGCTACCTCACCTATAGCGTTAGACTACCTCACCTATAGCGATAGACTACCTCACCTAGTGTTAGGCTACCTCACCTAGCGTTAGGCTACCTCACCTATAGCGTTAGGCTACCTCGCCTCTAGCGTTAGACTACCTCACCTATAGCATTAGGCTACCTCACCTATAGCGTTAGACTACCTCACCTATAGCGATAGACTACCTCACCTAGCGTTAGGCTACCTCCCCTATAGTGTTAGGCTACCTCACCTATAGCGTTAGGCTACCTCACCTCTAGCGTTAGACTACCTCACCTAGCGTTAGGCTACCTCACCTCTAGCGTTAGACTACCTCACCTATAGCGTTAGACTACCTCACCTATAGGGTTAGACTACCTCACCTATAGCGTTAGACTACCTCACCTCTAGCGTTAAACTACCTCACCTATAGCGTTAAACTACCTCACCTATAGCGTTAGGCCACCTCACCTATAGCGTTAGACTACCTCACCTATAGCGTTAGATTACCTCACCTAGCGTTAGGCTACCTCACCTATAGCGTTAGACTACCTCACCTATAGCGTTAGACTACCTCACCTATAGCGTTAGACTACCTCACCTATAGCGTTAGACTACCTCACCTATAGCGTTAGACTACCTCACCTATAGCGTTAGACTACCACACCTATAGCGTTAGACTACCTCACCTATAGCGTTATACTACCACACCTATAGCGTTAGACTACCTCACCTCTAACGCTAGACTACCTCACCTATAGCGTTAGACTACCTCACCTAGTGTTAGGCTACCTCATCTATAGCGTTAGACTACCTCACCTATAGCGTTAGGCTACCTCACCTATAGCGTTAGACTACCTCACCTATAGCGTTAGGCTACCTCACCTATAGCGTTAGACTACCTCACCTATAGCGTTAGACTACCTCACCTAGTGTTAGGCTACCTCATCTATAGCGTTAGATTACCTCACCTATAGCGTTAGACTACCTCACCTATAGTGTTAGACTACCTCACCTATAGCGTTGCTGTTCTTCAGTAGCACCATATTGGCCTTCTTGTCGTCTTCCACGTTCATGTAGACCGGATGTTGGCCGTACAGGTTCCAGTCGCTCTGGGTCAGAGAGGGTCAGTTTGTTAGGTGACCCACATAACGAGGGAGAGATGGGGTCAGTTTGTTAGCTAACCCACACAACATGGGTCTGACAGGGTCAGTTTGTTAGGTGACCCGTAAAACGTTGGTGACATACGGTGAACACATTATTACATAAGGACCACGAGTCCAGTGTGAACATTGACCATATACATGAGGACCCAGGTAAAATTTGACCACAGCCTTACATTAGGACCCGTGTAAACATTGACCACAGCCTTACATTAGGACCCGTGTAAACATTGACCACAGCCTTACATTAGGACCCGTGTAAACATTGACCACAGCCTTACATTAGGACCTGTGTAAACATTGACCACAGCCTTACATTAGGACCCGTGTAAACATTGACCACAGCCTTACATTAGGACCCGTGTAAACATTGACCACAGCCTTACATTAGGACCCAGGTAAACATTGACCACAGCCTTACATTAGGACCCAGGTAAACATTGACCACAGCCTTACATTAGGACCCAGGTAAACATTGACCACAGCCTTACATTAGGACCCGAGTCCCGTGTAAACATTGACCACAGCCTTACATTAGGACCCATGTAAACATTGACCACAGCCTTACATTAGGACCTAGGTAAACATTGACCACAGCCTTACATTAGGACCCGAGTCCCGTGTAAACATTGACCACAGCCTTACATTAGGACCCAGGTAAACATTGACCACAGCCTTACATTAGGACCCGTGTAAACATTGACCACAGCCTTACATTAGGACCCGTGTAAACATTGACCACAGCCTTACATTAGGACCCGAGTCCCGTGTAAACATTGACCACAGCCTTACATTAGGACCCATGTAAACATTGACCACAGCCTTACATTAGGACCAGAGTCCCGTGTAAACATTGACCACAGCCTTACATTAGGAACCGTGTAAACATTGACCACAGCCTTACATTAGGACCAGAGTCCCGTGTAAACATTGACCACAGCCTTACATTAGGACCTGTGTAAACATTGACCACAGCCTTACATTAGGACCCGAGTCCCGTGTAAACATTGACCACAGCCTTACATTAGAACCCAGGTAAACATTGACCACAGCCTTACATTAGGACCCAGGTAAACATTGACCACAGCCTTACATTAGGACCCAGGTAAACATTGACCACAGCCTTACATTAGGACCCGAGTCCCGTGTAAACAATGACCACAACCTTACATTAGGACCCAGGTAAACATTGACCACAGCCTTACATTAGGACCCGTGTAAACATTGACCACAGCCTTACATTAGGACCAGAGTCCCGTGTAAACATTGACCACAACCTTACATTAGGATCCGAGTCCCGTGTAAACATTGACCACAGCCTTACATTAGGACCCATGTAAACATTGACCACAGCCTTACATTAGGACCCAGGTAAACATTGACCACAGCCTTACATTAGGACCCGAGTCCCGTGTAAACATTGACCACAGCCTTACATTAGGACCCAGGTAAACAATGACCACAGCCTTACATTAGGACCCGTGTAAACATTGACCACAGCCTTACATTAGGAACCGTGTAAACATTGACCACAGCCTTACATTAGGACCAGAGTCCCGTGTAAACATTGACCACAGCCTTACATTAGGACCCAGGTAAACATTGACCACAGCCTTACATTAGGACCCGAGTCCCGTGTAAACAATGACCACAACCTTACATTAGGACCCAGGTAAACATTGACCACAGCCTTACATTAGGACCCGTGTAAACATTGACCACAGCCTTACATTAGGACCAGAGTCCCGTGTAAACATTGACCACAACCTTACATTAGGATCCGAGTCCCGTGTAAACATTGACCACAGCCTTACATTAGGACCCATGTAAACATTGACCACAGCCTTACATTAGGACCCAGGTAAACATTGACCACAGCCTTACATTAGGACCCGAGTCCCGTGTAAACATTGACCACAGCCTTACATTAGGACCCGTGTAAACATTGACCACAGCCTTACATTAGGACCCAGGTAAACATTGACCACAGTCTTACATTAGGACCCGTGTAAACATTGACCACAGCCTTACATTAGGACCAGAGTCCCGTGTAAACAATGACCACAGCCTTACATTAGGACCAGAGTCCCGTGTAAACATTGACCACAACCTTACATTAGGATCCGAGTCCCAGGTAAACATTGACCACAGCCTTACATTAGGACCCATGTAAACATTGACCACAGCCTTACATTAGGACCCAGGTAAACATTGACCACAGCCTTACATTAGGACCCGAGTCCCGTGTAAACATTGACCACAGCCTCCATCTCATGTCGTGTTTGAAGCTCTCGTGCCTGTGCTCACCAAAACCGTACACGTTCTCATTGGTCAGTCGTGTGGTCAGCTGGAGAAACTGGTCAGACAGGACTAATCCAGGCTGGCTGGAGTTGAACCTGGGGGTGGGGATTGTGTGGGTTTTTTAATGAGTGAAATGTGGGATTGATAGTGATGTAGTTATGGTTGGGGGTTAGGTTTTATTTTTAGATTGGATGGAATGGTCTAGTGGTAGAGCATACAAATGATAACAGACAAGAGATGGCAGAGCACAATATATTCACACATTCACACAAAATACAAATACACACGCATTCAACTAAAACACACACATTCACAGGAAGTACAGAAATTAAACCGCAAAAAAAATTGCACACTTATATCAAATTTACTCACAGTTGCATACAACACACAAACACACAAAGCACACACATTTAAACCTCACAAATAAATGCACATATTGATGTCAAATTTATTCACAGTTACATACAACACACACACACACACACACACACATTCGCTGACTATATACACTTTCACAGACATACATTTGCACACAAACTTACAATCCACACACACACACTGGTTCGCAAACCACAAACACCTTCGCACAACACTAACACATCACATATATTTGCACACTATAAACATTAGCACCCCATGCACACACATTCACACATATATTCTCACACCACACACATCTTCTCACACCAGACGCATTCGCACGCCACACGCACATTCACCCGCCCCCCCCTACACACACACCTCGGCACAACACACTTACACAACAGCACCGGATGACTTCCTAGTCACCACAACGCCAAACGGGTTCTCTGAAAACGTGACGTCATACTGGGCCGTTTTGGTGGAGGTCGCCAACCTTGACCCCTCAATGTCCAAGGCTATTTGTGGAATTTCCCATCTGCTCACGTTTGTGGGGAAGATCTGCAGACGCCAGAAATATAAGAACCTTCTAGATCATGTATAAAAACAGGTTAGCGATACATGTTCTAATTTTAAATTGTTTACAAATTAGACCATCAAGTTATTTGAAACACCACTGTCCTAAATAAAACGTATACCCTAACCTCGGTTGTGGTATTGAAGTGGTTCTTAACCTGGGTTTGATCGAACCCCAGAGTTTTGCTTTGGTTCGGACCCTCTCAAGTAGGGCTGGAAAACCGTCCCCCCCCCACCCCACATACACCCGCATGCACATACACATACACACACACATACACACAAGTCTTGTCACTGACCCACTTTGTACACAACCTCCGCCATTTTTCAAGTCGTACCGTCCACTGACCTTGACCCTGAGCCTGTTGTCAGTCTGCATGTCCACCTCCACCCCCACCTCCTCGTACACCGTCGTGTTGTACAAGGGCGGGGACGGCGTGCGCCTCAGCTCCAGCCTGTACACGTTGTCCTTAAGGTCAGGGCCGCTGATCACGTGATACCCGTGTCCAGCTGGGAAGTAGCACCATGGCGCCCCGGGCTCGTCCTGCTTTTGCCAGACACACCTGAGGTAATGAGACACACCTGAGGTAATGAGACACACCTAAAGTAATGAGACACACCTGAGGTAATGAGACACACCTGAGGTAATGAGACACACCTGAAGTAATGAGACACACCTGAAGTAATGAGACACACCTGAAGTAATGAGACACAACTGAAGTAATGAGACACACCTGAGGTAACAAGACACACGTGAGGTAATGAGACACACCTGATGTAATGAGACACATTGGAAGTAATGAGACACAACTGAAGTAATGAGACACACCTGAGGTAATGAGACACACCTGAGGTAATGAGACACACCTGTGGTAATGAGACACACCTGATGTAATGAGACACACCTGAGGTAATGAAACACACCTGAGGTAATGAGACACACCAAAATAAACACATGCAAAGTAACGAAACATACTTGAAGCGACACATCAAATGTATTGAAACGTACTAGAATAGACATACCTAAGCTAATGAGACACACTTGAAAATAACCATTTAAAGAAAAAACGCCTCAAGTATGAAGACACTTGAAGAGACACCTGAAATATTAAGACACCCGTACAGAGATACATCTTCTAAGACACACAAAAACGAAGCGCATCTGAAGTAATAAGACATACCTGACAACTTAAGACACACGTAGATGCATTAAAAGGAACAGGCCAATGAGACACACGTAAAGAGAACGCACACACTGAACTATAGAGACACACTTTCAACCACTCACCCTCGTTCCTGGCATGCACGTGAATTAGTGCTCATCTTCCCCGCGTCTCTCCGTAGCTCTGGGTAACAATCCACGCGCAGCACCTGAGCCGGCGTGTCTCCGTCGTCCTTCAACTTGAAGTGAAGCACCAGCCCCACGGTCAAGGCCACAGCCACTCCGATGGCGACAGAGACACTTATACCGACGATTAACTTCTTCCTCGGAACTTTCGACTTTTTCGGGGTGAGTGCATACACGCCCGACATTTCAGGTAATTTTTGAGTCTTCTTTCCTGGAAATTTTTAAAAAAATATAACATTTATACATGTTCACACTGATATATACAAAATGTCACCATTACTTTAAAGGTTGTTTATAAGTGACGCCGTTCTGTTTTATAATATCTGTACACCCCCACCAAACTCACGTGAAAAAAAGGTAAGAGCCCCTAGCCTATATAAGCTCCCACTCCCTAAATACCTCTCTATATATGTAACCTAATGTATGGATGACGCCCTAATTGATACATGCCAGGACTAACATAACCAGGGTCGCCTAGGGTCAAGACTGGGGTCAGGGTTTGGGTCAGCATTTTTATCAAAAACATACATTTCACAAGATTTACTGGCTTAATTATGATCACTAGAAAATGTTGAAATTCATTTCTTACACAATAGCCATTCTATTTTTCAGAAGACATCTATATATATAATTCTCTTCTTGGAGACGCTAAAAAACACCAAGCTGTAAGCGCGCTCCCTACCACCCCACCCCTACATGGTCTGGTGAGCTGTGGTTCACGCTAAATGTTTACAATCGTAGAGCCGGGTTTAGTGACGGCTAATAGTGGCAGATAATTTAGTTTGAAACTATTTTAAACTTAGGGGAGGTAACTAAGAGGAGGCTGCTTTCACGGCGGGGGGGGGGGGGGGGGGGGTAGGGTAGGGGTTGGGGGAAAGGAGGGTGGGGGTAGTATCGTCCTTAACGAGCTACTGATAGTGTTTTAAAGCAAATATGTTCAGTGGCAGCATTGGTACTGTCGAATTCAAAAATTATGAATTACTGAAAAGTAGAAAATAAAACAACTAAATAGCGGCGTATGATACGCCGCGGGTCGGCTCGTATATATTAATTCGTTTAATATTAGGAATTCATATCGGCTTCATAATATTACTTTTGTATGGTTCCAGTATATCGCCCTCACAAATTACACATACCCTTACTCTGTTGGAAGTCATGCATGATAAAAGTGAATGTATATTGTAAGATATATAAATACACCAACACTTACTTTTATGATGCGCTTATTTTAATCCCAGAAAAACTTGTAAAACACTTCTGGAGCCGCGAGATCACTTTACATGCGGAAATATAGTCTAGATTTTGACCCGTGAACTGGATGAATATTCAAGTATGTTATCGTCCCTAGCTTTCTTCATCTGTTGTCGGTTTTATCTGAAGTTGTTATCGAACACTGAGTCCACTTGACCAGGTTTATAAGACACTGGTGACGTTGATTTTTTGGTGAATTTTATTGGGTACGTGGAACACAACGATAAAACAGGTGTGTAATCGAGGTGTGATAAGCTGTTTCTTATGTATGTATATATTGTTTAGACCATTGTAAAAGGTTACAATGGGGGTCAAATATACATATATACATATATATATATATATATATATATATATATATATATATATATATATATATATATATATATATATATATATATACATATATACATATATACATATATACATATATATATATATATATATATATATATATATATATATATATATATATATATATATATATATATATATATATTGTTTAGACCATTGTAAAAGGTTACAATGGGGGTCAAATGTGTATAACAGTAGAATAAAGGTTGGAAACATTGTACAGTTCGGTGTTCGAGTTACTTAATTCGACCTTAGCAGCCACACACCCTGGCTACTGAGAAATCTGTCTCGTTTTACGAACTGTAAACTTCTATAATTTGCTATTAGAGCTATGGTGGAATTTTTACCTATCGTTGTGTTGGTGGCTTATCAAAGATTGATCTATAAATATAATGGATCTTACTGGACCATCGTCGCAAGAAGCCGCCCCCCTTCCGTAAACAGTTTACCTCAAGCCTAAGCATATAAATTTGATTAACGATGTTTAACTTTTCATTTATGAATTTTTTAAGAAATACGAAATGTTACATTACCTTATCTCTCCCCCTTTCAAAATCCCCCCCCCCCCCCCCCGCCTTCACCGCACACCCCAAGGTCAGGCCTTGTGCAATTTTGAAATTGTTTTCTTGATGAGTTCATGAGCAACCAAAAGTTCAAATTAAAGAAGGTTGTGTACTTGTTGCGTCTTGCGTGTATGCTACTTTTCAATTTTTATTTTTTTAAACTTTTTTACAGGACACGCAAAATATGTTCCTGCTGTCAGCAGCAATTTAATTCATCAAAGCCGGACACTACATAGCTTAAGTTATGGATGACTTATGAGCAACATCATGCATGTGGTGACACTACACACGAATCTCAAGTTAACCTTTTGTTCTACAGCATGCACAAAAGTAGTGGATAAAACCTACACGCGAGTGTTAACCTAGCCTGGTTTAAAACACAGTTAATAAAAGCCATATGCACCTTTAATACAAGTCCGTATTGTTTGGTGTCATCTAACACACCCTACAACACCTTTAGCAGTCCACATTACACAAGTGACATAGTGACAGTTTAAGCTGTTAAAATATCCCTGAACAGTACGCTAAAAATATAGCACAAATAAAAACCCAGCAGTATAAAAATACAAATATTCCTAGACATAAACAAGCATCATTATGAGAGTTTACACAATGGCGCCCCCACTGGCCAGATAACTTTTTACTACAACAATAAGGGGAGACAAGTCATGACAAACTAGGTCGCGAGACGTTTACTTGGTTGTTTTTTAAGCAAAGGGTTGCAACAATTGGGTACCAGGAAAATTAAAACATGCTGCGTAAACCTTAGTAAAATAATCATAAAATTATCCGTCAAAACTAGCAAAGCAAAAACACATTCAAGACAGTTTTAAGGTCTTCATAGGCCCTAAAAGTTCGAAGGCTTTGAGTATGAGCACATTTCATACTCAAAGCCTAAATAATAAGACTGCCCAGCGCCTATTGATCTCTTTAAAAAAAAATATCATGCTCTATGTTTATGAACGATTTTACTTTAACCAATTTCTAAATTAAAATTTTAAAAGAAAAAACAGAAAACTATTAATGTGTTAGATTTTAATGACCGAAAACATTAAAAATTTGAATCTTTATAGAACAAAAAATGTAAAACATGTTTCTATTTTACAAAAGCGATGCACATCTCAGTCGTAGGTCTTCATTTGCCTCTTCAACACAACTCACATCATTAAAACAGTTAAAAAATCGAACCATACTTGAAAACACCTCTCAAATTAACTGACTCACTTCACAACGCATGCACAGTAACACACATTCACAATTTTAGCTGACATCCTCACTAACGACACATACATATACAATGTCTCACTCAAACTTCACTGTCTGGGTTACTGCCTCATTTAGTCATCCTGAAAACCTGCTTCCATTCCCTCCCCCCCCCCCACCCCCCTTGAACATCGCTCCGCCCCTTCACACTTTATCCGTGTCTTTGACCACGAACAAGTTCCTGAGGTCAGTGATCCTGAAGCCCTCCCTGAAGTCCTCAAACAGGCACCAGACGGGGTGGAGGAGGATGACGAAACGGCCGGGGTAGAGCAGCTCGGAGAGTTCCACGGCGTGGTCGCTGTCCTTCATGTAGTAGGTCGTCTCGTCAGTGGAGAACACGAGAGGAGTCTCGTTACCAGCCTCGTCCTGTGGGGGAGGGAATTCATGCTTTGGTTAGTCGGGGTTTGAAGGTTTATGTTTGGGGGAGATGGGGTTGGGTGGTTTATGTTTGGGGCAGGTGCGGTTGGGTGGTTTATGTTTGGGTTAGGTGGGGTTGGGTGGTTCATATTTGGGGTAGGTGGGGCTCGGTAGTTCATGCTTGGGGTAGGTGGGGTTTGGTGGTTCATGTTTGAGTCAGTAAGGACAAGGTGGTTAATGAAGGGATTAGTCAGGACTTGGTGGTTTGAGATATTTCATCAAGAGAGGAACTATATCAGAGATGGAAGAGTTTTACTAAGGAAGTTTACGTGAGTTTCATGTAAAGTGTAAGTATTGTGTACTTGATGTGCGAATTGGTTTTAGGAAGGAATGAGATAATAGAGAGGATGGGATTATATGGAGCATGGTAATACGATGATGGGATTATATGGATAATTGGGAAACGTGGTTAAAACAAGTTAAACCAGAAACTAACGGCTGATCCAACAGCCAGACTTACAGCCAGGATGACGGCAAAGTTCTCCCCAGGGTAGGAGTCACAAGGTCCAGCCACCTCACAGATCAAAGCCCTGTTGTAGCCGCTCATAGCTGTAGACAAGACAAAGGTGGATGGGTGGATTACATGAAGGTGGATGGGTGGATTACATGAAGGTGGATGGGTGGATTACATGAAGGTGGATGGGTGGATTACATGAAGGTGGATGGGTGGATTACATGAAGGTGGATGGGTGGATTACATGAAGGTGGATGGGTGGATTACATGAAGGTGGATGGGTGGATTACACGAAGGTGGATGGGTGGGTTACACAAAGTAGGTGGTGGATTACACAAAGTGGGTAGGTGGATAAACTGTGTTGCAAGTCTAGATCAGTGTCGCTTGTATCAATGGTTTTTCGTGTTTTATATTCTGTTGAGTTATAATGGGATAGGTGATAGTCAGAGGCGTAGCGACCCTTCCCGGCGCCCGGGGACAAACTTTTCGATTTGCACCCCCCCCCCCTCGAGATTTTTATTTGCACCCCCCCCCCCTCGAGATTTTTATTTGCACCCCCCCCCCCCCCTCAAACTTTCAATTTGCACTCCCCTCAACCTTTCAATTTATTTTTCCAACCCATTTTGGCGCCCCCTAAGCTCGGCGCCCGGGGACATATGTCCCCCCCCGCCCCCCCCCCCCCTCCCTCGCTACGCTACTGGTGATAGTACAACACTATGTTATGACAATCCGTCTGTTTTATTTTATTGCAAACTTTGAAAACTTAATTGAATGTATAAATAGATTGAATAATCGGCGTAGACTGAATTTTTCGATAACACAATTCAAGTTTTTGTTTTCAATAAGATTGTAAACTTGATTTGTCTTGGAAGATGTGATAAATTGTATAATTTCTTGTACCAAATGTGCATACATGTTTAGTTTGGAATTATCTAACGTATAAAATAATGTGCTTTTTGATTTATGATGACATCAGTAATAAAACCAAACAGCCCTGACCTACTTGTTTAATCTGGAAAGTTAATGTTTGTTAATTCATTCCATCTCTGTCACGTGACACAAACACAGGATTGTGGTGTGTATGGGGGCGGGTACTAAATTAAGCAACTTACACTGGTAACAATCAGGATTGTGTCCGTTGTGTGAGGGAGGGGGGGGGCTAAACTAGACCACTCACACTGGTAACTATCAGAGGCGTGGCTGTTGTGGGGGGGGGGGGGGCTAAACTAGACCACTTACATTGGTAACAATCAGGGGCGTGTCTGTTGTGTGTGTGGAGGGGGGGCTAAACTACACTTACACTGGTAACAATCAGGGGCGTGTCTGGTGTGTGTGTGGGGGGGGGTACTAAACTAGGCCGCTTACACTGGTAACAATCAGGGGCGTGTCTGAACATGGTGATGATTTTGAGGCTGAAGCTCTCGATGTACTTGTACATGTAGGGCTCCAGTCGGTTGACGGCGTTGTTCAGTCGGGCCACCCGCTCAGGCTGGGAGGAGAAGATGTTGACAACTTTTACAGCAGGTTATACGGCTCTGTCTGCTGGACGTCAGTCTGTCCACGTGACGTCAGTCGGTCCGTGTGACGTCAGTCGGTCCGTGTGACGTCAGTCGGTCCGTGTGACGTCAGTCGGTCCGTGTGACGTCAGTCGGTCCGTGTGACGTCAGTCGGTCCGTGTGACGTCAGTCGGTCCGTGTGACGTCAGTCGGTCCGTGTGACGTCAGTCGGTCCGTGTGACGTCAGTCGGTCCGTGTGACGTCAGTCGGTCCGTGTGACGTCAGTCGGTCCGTGTGACGTCAGTCGGTCCGTGTGACGTCAGTCGGTCCGTGTGACGTCAGTCGGTCCGTGTGACGTCAGTCGGTCCGTGTGACGTCAGTCGGTCCGTGTGACGTCAGTCGGTCCGTGTGACGTCAGTCGGTCCGTGTGACGTCAGTCGGTCCGTGTGACGTCAGTCGGTCCGTGTGACGTCAGTCGGTCCGTGTGACGTCAGTCGGTCCGTGTGACGTTAGTCGGTCCGTGTGACGTCAGTCGGTCCGTGTGACGTCAGTCGGTCCGTGTGACGTCAGTCTGTCCGTGTGACGTCAGTCGGTCCGTGTGACGTCAGTCGGTCCGTGTGACGTCAGTCGGTCCGTGTGACGTCAGTCGGTCCGTGTGACGTCAGTCGGTCCGTGTGACGTCAGTCGGTCCACTTGACGTCCAGGTAACATACATCTGAGGTCCTTAAACGTGTTACCTACCACTGGGAGAACACCTAACATTGTACAGTGAACCTTGGGTGTAAAGGCTCAATATGGCTAAGGGTTAAATTGTAACTGAAGGTTCAATCGATGTTAATTCGTCCAACGCAAAAGTTAGCATGGGAAAGTGGTGCTAGTTCTAGAAATGGTAAAAGTTTTGCAGTAAACAAGTTTAAGGACCTCGGACGGTACAATCGTTTGTTTCTGTTAGTTAAATGTGTGTGTACAAATAGATACAAATATACAGAGTGTGGTGGTTCAAAGTGTGGCTTAGCTTTGATCTGTTACCTCACTCGTGTACTCCAATTACGTACAACCTGAGTCAACCTGAGGTCGAAATTTGCCTCGAGAATAAAGTCTCCACTTGACAAACGTTGAACAGGAGGCCGCCACACGTCGGCTAATATGATACCCAACTACCCCCCCCCCCCCCAATCAGCCTAGAAACCCCGAACATCCCCCCCCCATCAGTCTAGAAACCCAGAACACCCCCCCCCCCCATCAGTCTAGAAACCCAGAACACCCCTACTCAGATTAGAGACTCCGAACCCCCACTCTGCATAAAGCCCCCAAAGACCCTGCAATGGAGAGACCCCGAACATACCCACTCTGACCAGAGACCCGAAAGACCCCCCAGACCCCCAGAGCCTACTTACCACAGACTTCCTTGTGTTTGGCCAGGTCGTCCAGCAGACAGTACTTTGAGCAGTACTTGGCCAGCTCACAGCGAGGGCAGTTCATCAGGACGGTCCTCCTCCGGCGGCAGAACGAGCACCTCGCCGTACGTCCAGGGCGGCGGTAACGTCGGCTGCTGGAATAGAAATAGTCCTTCAGTCTGCGGCTCTGCGGGGCGCATCATGGAATAATAACTGACCCCAGAAATCCCCCCCCCGCCCCTTCCCCCCCCCCCCCCCCCCGACCCCAGGAATTCCACCCGACCCCAGGAATTCCCCCCGACCCCTGGAATACCAGCCAACGCCCTGGTATACCACCGGACTCTCAACAACATCGCCCGACCTCAAGATGGATGCCAAAGCCAAAGAAAAACTATTCGAAGATTAAAGCCCAATTTTAAATTTTAACAAAAAATATCTTCCACAAAAACCACATCGCTTGAATTATTTTTCGCAAAAATAGATTTCCTACACCCTTGAGAACATTCTGAACCCCCAAGTTTATCGTGATATGTTTTGTTTATATTGGAAGTTTAGGGTAGACTTCATATACTATACAATACTTCCTATGAACTTTTTATTCTGCCTTCCTCGCAAAGGCCTCTAGGCTGTTACATTTATACACTTCTCCCTTGTATAATATAATTTCTAAACTAATACAAAAATCTACCTATTCCCGTTGTATTATCTCTAATCAAATGCAAAAATCTAAGTCTTGCTAAGCTTACATGAAAAACAACTTTACCTTCTTTGTGATTTGTTGAAGATCGTCGTACTTTGTGTCTGCGACCATTCAGCGCTGTAAGCTTTCATATCCAGAACTTCGTCGTAAGGAGGCGGGGCTTCTTCGCTGCCCAGATCACGTGATGCGTCCTCACCCTCGTCTGATACATCCGACGCGCTGCTCGCGTCACTGGCGTCCTCTGATCCGTCATCACACGAGTCGTCGTAATAGCACATGTTGTCGCTTCCGCATCCGGCACCGTTGCATGCCGGACAGACTTTTAACTTCCGGCTCCGTTGCGCAGACGCGGCTTTGCTGTCCTGGACCCTCACAGAATCGCTAGAGTCTGCTGGCCAGACGACAATCTCCGGAACCGCAGACGCATCAGCTTGTAACAGACTTCTCACTCCTGTAGATTCATCCACTGTCTGTTTTGTTTCGTTTTGTGGTGGTTTTTCAACTTCTGAATTTTTAAAACCAGGCGTTGTAGTGTCTGCTTGTTCGTCGATTAGATCCGTTTTACTTTCAGGAATTTGTTCCAGTTTACGTTTCACACACCTAGGATGCCTAGGCGAGTCCGACCTTCCGTCCTTCGTTATCCTCCTCAACACGACCCTCGGCGGGGTTTTCGGCGGAGATTTTCTGCTCGTCTTCCAATCCCGGCATCGTTCAATCGTACCGCACGTCTCATCAGAAATCTTGCCGTCTGCGACTTGCAAAATGTCGGAGAAAGACGGCAACGGTCCGGTAAAGACGACCAACGGGGCGCCGGTCACCCCAAGGGGTTCCACCCCAAGTTGTGGGGGCGCTTGCAGGGCGGGGGGCTGGAAGTAAGGGAGCAGGTCGTGCATGAGAAACATCTCCGCGAGCGCCTCCTCCGCGGGCGGCTCTATCGGCTCGGTCTCGCCTTCTGGGACGGGCAGTGGACCTTCCGGTCTGACAAAACGAACATAGTCCAGCGCCTCCTTGACCTTGCCTACGTACTTCACCCTGTCCACGACGTCCAGCTGCTCTTTGAGGTCCATTTTCCAGTGCATCACGGCGTCCTCGATGTTTGTTGGAGGCTCAGCAGGAGTTGGTCTAGATGGGCTTTTGTTGGGGGGTGGGGTTTTGTTAGGGGATGGACTTTTCTTTGGGGATCTTTTTTTCTGTTTCTTCTTGGCGTGGAAGACTTTAGGTCTGGCGCCTTGTTTTTGGTACTCCTCCATTGTCTTAATGTCCAGCATCTCGAGGGTCAGTTTTGGCTTGGATGGTGACCTCTCCGGTGACTTGGGTCTCGGCGTGTCTTCTTGCTGCAGTGTTTGAGTTTCTGGTCTTGGGGATCTGGGTCCCTGTGGAGATCTGGGTCCCTGTGGAGATCTGGGTCCCTGTGGGGATCTGGGTCCTTGTGGGGATCTGGGTCCCTGTGTGGATCTGGGTCCCTGTGGGGATCTGGGTCCCTGTGGGGATCTGGGTCCCTGTGGGGATCTGGGTCCCTGTGGGGATCTGGGTCCCTGTGGGGATCTGGGTCCCTGTGGGGATCTGGGTCCCAATCCTGGTGAAAAACCGGACACCGATTTTTGAATAGACAGAGACAATGGTCTGGAGACAGAAGATTGTACTGATCCGGTAACCGGTCCTTGTGGTGATCCGGGAACCGGTTCTTGTGGTGATCCGGGAACCGGTCTTTTGAGTGGTGATCTAGAAAAAGGCCCTTGTGGTGACAAGGGAACCGGTCCTCGAGGTGACCCAGGAACCGGCCCTTGAGGTGACCCAGGAACCGGCCCTTGAGGTGACCCAGGAACCGGCCCTTGAGGTGACCCAGGAACCGGCCCTTGAGGTGACCCAGGAACCGGCCCTTGAGGTGACCCGGGAACATATCCCTGTGATGATCCAGCTATTGGTCTTCGCAGCGGTCCTGGAACTGGTCTTCTAAGCGCTCCGGGAACCGGCCCTTGCGGTGAGCCGGGAACCGGTCCTTGCGGTGAGCCGGGAACCGGTCCTTGTGGTGAGCCGGGAACCGGTCCTTGCGGTGATCCTGGAACTTGTCTTGGTCGGGATCTTATTGTTGGAATTTCTTGTGGCTGTGCCATTAGTTCAGGCAGCATTGCTTGTTCAGGTTGTGGTACGGGTTCGGGCATTGGAATAGGCTGGGGTATTGGAATGGGTTCAGGCATTGGAATGGGTTCGGGTAAAGGTATTTGTTCGGGAAGTGGAATAGGTTCGGGTTGTGGAATAGGTTCGGGTAAAGGTATTTGTTCGGGAAGTGTAATAGGTTCAGGCAATGGAATAGGTTCGGGTTGTGGAATAGGTTCGAGCAGTGGTTCTTGCTCTGGCAGTGCCAAGAGTCCAGGCAGTTGAACCTGTTCAGGTGGGGGAAACTTCTGAAACAGTAGCATGATCTCAGCTAAGTGGGCTAGCGCTGGTGGAGTTGTTGGTTCAGGTGGGGTCTTTGGTCCTACTGGCGATCTGGGGGCAGATGGTGATCTAGGGGCAGGGGGTGATCTGGGGGCAGGGGGTGATCTGGGGGCATTGGGTGATCTGGGGGCATTGGGTGATCTGGGGGCATTGGGTGATCTGGGGGCAGAGGGTGATCTGGGGGCAGACGGTGATCTGAGGGCAGGGGGTGATTTAGGGGCAGGGGGTGATTTCGGCCCGGTTGTAGGTCCTTGATCTCGTGGCGACCTTGATTCTCGATGCGAACTTGATGTCCTTGACCCCTGTTTAAAGCCTGCTGGCGATGGCTGCCCTCCTGAAGTTTTCGGCTCCGACATTGACCTTCGACCCTTCTTAGCTTTGGTCCCGTCGACAAGGTCCGACAACTGAAGAGGTGTTTGATTTGGGCTCAACTCAAAATCACAGAGTTGGGAGTTTTTACTTTTCGCCTCCGTCTTCGTTTTTCTCTTCTCCGCCTCGCACTGCGGGCAAGGATCCTTGTACGAGTCGTTCATCTCCTTCAAAATTTTCTCAATCGGCTCATTCTGGTCGCTAGCTTGACCTTGACCCTTCTTCCCCCCGAGATACACATTGCCTCGATGCTTACACACCGTGAAGGTCAGCTCTTTCTTTTTTTTCCCACCCCGTTTCCCTTTCTTTCCGTTCACGACGGCCTGTAAAGTTTCAGCCTGTGGTGGGATATCGAAGACGACAATTTCTTTCACAGGCTGCGAGTGTCTGGATGTTCCGTTCTCCTGCTGATGTTCTCTGGGGAGTTCCGCCGTGTCCGCACAATTCTCGATCAAACGTGACTCAAGATTCTTGGCATTTTTTTTCTCTTGGAGCCTCTGGTGAGCATCCATGATCATGGCGATACTGTGATTAGCATCCATGATTGTGGTGATACTCTGATTAGCATCTTTGGTCTTTGGGATACTCTGATTAGCATATTTGGTCTTTGGGATACTCTGATTAGCATCTTTGGTCTTTGGGATACTCTGATTAGCATCTTTGGTCTTTGGGATACTCTGATTAGCATCTTTGGTCTTTGGGATACTCTGATTAGCATCTTTGGTCTTTGGGATACTCTGATTAGCATCTTTAGTATTTGCGATACTCTGATTAGCATCTTTAGTCTTTGTGATACTCTGATTAGCATCCTCTTGTAGATTGTCATTGTTATCTCTTTGAATGAGTTTTCCTTTCAAACGTGCGTCCACTCCCTGACCTGGGCTGACCTCATTGTTGTTGGCCACGTCATCGTTTTGCTCGTCTTTACCCAAAGGCAGTGAAGAGCTCGGCTTTTTTTTCTTTCGGTTTTTACTCGACCCGGCTCCATTTCTTGCGGGCTCCTGGTTCAAATTCTTCTCTGGTTGGTTGATGTGCTGGTCGTCAGGTTTTTGTGTCGGTGGTGTCTGCAAGTGGCCGATCTTGTTGTGGCAATGCTGACAGACGATAGCGCTTGTTTGCGACTGCTGGTCCGCAGACGACAGATGGCTCTCCGTCTGCGTGGCTACAGTCTGCGGGGTTTTCTCGCCCCTTTTTTTAACGCTGATGCTGATGTTGATGTTCATTCTGTCGTAGTCCATGTAGAAGTCTTGAGTCTGCAGGTGGATTGTCCGGGGCAGCCGGTCATCGTTGAAATGACCGTTGGTGGAATTTGAGCCATTGTTTGTCGTCTGCCCAGTGTCGTGATTTCCGTTTGATAAGCCGTCTGGTGGATTGTAGGATGCCATCTTGAGGCTGATTCACCTGAAATAGAATGATGCGTTAGTCTCACTTGTTACACTGCAGACCTGGGGATGGCGTGATCGAATGGTAGAGCGTTCGGCTGCTAGCCCGAATGTCTCGAGTACGGATCTCGGTTCCGACATGTAGCTGTAGGACGTTCTTAAGTCCACCCAGCTCTGATGGGTACCTGACTTGTTGGGGAAAGTAAAGGCGGCTGGACAAAGTACTGACCACACCATCCCTTCATATGCCGAAATCAGGAAACGAACTTCATCTGCCCCAATGGGTAGTTAGATCTAAGGAGGAATCTTGGCTGCAGACCTAATACGTAGCTGCCCTACGAAAAGGTATGACAGGCCTAAAAATATGGTATTTGTTAGAGGTCGTTCGTTCACAACGTGACGCATTTTAAAAATTATTTGCGTTACCCCTGGCTAATAGATGAAGGCAGTTATGTTTACCACATGAAAACCACTCTTCAGATAAACGCAGCAAGAACGTAGTCATTCTACCTTAGAAAGTAGGCAACATACCTTAGAAAGTAGGCAACATACCTTAGAAAGTAGGCAACATACCTTAGAAAGTAGGCAACATACCTTAGAAAGTAGGCAACATACCTTAGAAAGTAGGCAACATACCTTAGAAAGTAGGCAACATACCTTAGAAAGTAGGCAACATACCTTAGAAAGTAGGCAACATACCTTAGAAAGTAGGCAACATACCTTAGAAAGTAGGCAACGTACCTTAGAAATTAAGCAACGTACCTTAGAAATTAAGCAACGTACCTTAGAAAGTAGGCAACGTACCTTAGAAAGTAGGCAACATACCTTAGAAAGTAGGCAACATACCTTAGAAAGTAGGCAACATACCTTAGAAAGTAGGCAACATACCTTAGAAAGTAGGCAACATACCTTAGAAAGTAGGCAACATACCTTAGAAAGTAGGCAGCATACCTTAGAAAGTAGGCAGCATACCTTAGAAAGTAGGCAACATACCTTAGAATGTAAACAACATATCTTAGAATGTAAACAACATATCTTAGAATGTAAACAACATATCTTAGAATGTAAACAACATATCTTAGAATGTAAACAACATATCTTAGAATGTAAACAACATATCTTAGAATGTAAACAACATATCTTAGAATGTAAACAACATATCTTAGCGTATTCAATATAATGACTTAGTACTCTAAATAACTTAGAAAGTAGTCAATATATTTAGAAACATGTTAATTCATTTTAGAAAGTAGTAAGTATACTGTCTTTTAGACAGTAGTAACGATAATAAAATATTTTAGTAAGTAGTAATTTTTAGAAAAGTCAATTATAAATTTTGACCGGAGCGGAAGATTCCAGATACTGGTGTCCAGTGTTTCTTCCAGACTTTTTTCTCCCGGGGGGCACGGGGCACTTGAAATTTTCGGGGGGGGGGGGGCGGACACTGTTAAAAGTATATATTTTCTATATAAAGTATAAATTTCATTTCGTTCGGGGGGGGGGCGGTAAAATTGAAACTCTGCTGGTGTCTAACACACTTTAAAAAAAAATAAGTGTATTAGGTTGTTAGTAGTGCTGTAATAACAGGTTTAAAGTTAGAGCAGGGCGAGGGCTGTGGAAAGACTTGGTATGGTTTGGAGGGATAAAAGAGATCTTATCGATTCTAAGTTGAATTAGTATTTGGTTTAGTACAAATAGTTATATTGTTTTTTAAAAAAAAAGCTTCCAAGCCTGCGGCAATACAGACTCTAGTATAACGTAACGAAACTTTCTTAAACCCACCATCCACTATCCCTCGTGTGACACTAGAATCTAGATCTAAATCTATTTGTTGTTAAAAAAAAGTTAAATGTATTTTTTTTAAATAGCTTTAAATTGTAAGTTCTATATCCTCATTGAACTATACCACCCTTAGTCTCTGTATCAAATTATCATAATTAGTGAAACCCTTCGCGTGCACGATTGAAAATATTCAACCCCTACCTTTGATAAAACTGGTAAAACCTTGATAAAATCTCTGCTTGATTCACGGTCTACGCTGTCTGAAGCTGCGTGTCTTGGAATGACCAGACAACTCACACATTGTGTGAACTCTGTTTAGGCTGCTTGATAGTAAACAAACACACAACACACACACACACCAGTGTGTTGTCTTCGTTGACTTCTCCCCTACCCATTCCCTAACACCGAAGGTTAACAAAAAATATATTAATAATTACTAATTTTGCATAGAAAATTTTTAAAAATATTTTGAATGTGTAGATGGCAAGTGAAGTAGGCTATGTGTAAAAAACAAGTTTCGAGAAAAATGATTTTTCAAATCGCATTCACATATCAAAATAGTGCAAAGTATTATTATAATTTACATTATATTTTTCAGACATTTTACACGTGTGCTCTGCTTGCTTGTATTATTGCTATGAGGATATTTGTATATTGTATTACGTGTATTTCATAGAAAGTAGATATTATACTGCATTTGTCTTACAAAGGGAAATAAATCTGTATTGAAATAGAAGCATAAAAATCGCTTATCTCTCTTTTAAATCGCAGCCAAAAAAAAAGTAAATGTATTAATCATACTGGTCAGGCTTGGAATTAATTAAAGCAGTTTCATAAAATTTAGCAACAATGCCCCAATCAGTTGTTGTAATAGTTAAATGATGGACAATTAATATAATCCTGCCTGGCCTTTCAAAATGTTTCTTTTTAAGAAATCACACGACTAATACCGTGTGCCTTGTAGTTCCAAAGTCGTGTTTCTCTCAATATATAGCCTACATTTCATATCAAAGACTTTTACTGTTTCAGATATTATCACTAGAACTCTTTGTCAGTGGCGTAGCGAGGTCGGGTGTCACCCGGTGCGGCACTTAATGGTGTCACCCCCCCCCCCCCCCCAGAGGCATAGAGACCCTTCCCAGGGACAAACTTTAAAATTTTCGATTTGCACCCCCCCCTCAAACTTTCGATTTGCACCCCCCCCCCTCGAGTTTTCGATTTGCACCCCCCCCCTCAAACTTTCGATTTGCACCCCCCCCCCCCCCTCGAGTTTTTCTCTATATATTTTGCTATTTTATGCCTTGGTGTCACCCCCCTAAATGGTGTCACCCGGTGCGGTCCGCACCCCCCGCCCCCCCCCCCCCCTCGCTACGCCCCTGCTCTTTGTATTACCGATAAGTAAATACCATTTAAGAACTGCTAGGGGAGGGAACTGTTTTATGAAAAGAGAATTTCTATTTATAAATTATCCCTTTCACAATTAATACATATAGAGATCTATATTATACCACTTAAAATTTACGTTAGTAAACTGGGTTTTTCTCGTTATAAAACAAAAAAACTTATTTGTACCAAAGACGTATGCAAAAATTCTCAATGTACAGCGCCATTTAACAATAATATATGTCCTGTTACAGTTCACCATATGCAGTTTCTTTCGGGCAACACTTCGAAGTGACCGTCCCCCATCTCTCAAAAACGTATCCCCGGACGATATAATTTATATAGAAAACAAACACCGCCCCCCCCCCCCCACTCTGTAGGTTTCACACCCCCCCCCCCCCACTCTGTAGGTTTCAAATGAAAGAAACACTGATAATAATATAAAACGCCTCCAAAACTAAGCCATCACAGAAAAGTATGGGTATGCCTTTTTGTTTAGTTTGTTTTATGATCACCCCTTCTACTAATGCTATTATTGTTAAGTATTCTTTAATTTATAATAAACAAGATACAGCTTCTGTACAAGTTACAATGTCGACATTTCGATGTGCCCCTGTCCCCTAGATTGTGATTCGGGTGTGTCGGAATTGATGAAAATTAAACACGTCACTCTGACCTAGACGAGGCCACTCCAAATTTAGGCCTACTTAAAGTAAATGGAGTTCGTGTACAAACATTGGAGCTATTTCAATAAACGTTTTTACACCACTGATTTTTTTTTTAATTTTAAAATTTAAAAAATTGAAATAAAAAAGCAGGCTAAGAATGAGAGTAAGACGTTAAAAAACGTTAAAATATTAGATCTACATGCTTTTTTTTTTAATTAATTAGGCTTTTAAAACTTAAACTTAGATAATTTGCGAAATCTTTTTTATGTTTCAACTACAGGCGCTGTTAATATTTATAACAATTTTTAAATGTCAAAATATTCGATGTGCTTCTTTTTTTTTTTAGCTAGACTAGGCCGTCAGGCTTAGTGGTAGATCTAGTCATGGGACTACATTTTTTTAACATTATTACGAAACTCAGGTAGCCTATTACTAGCAAAAGCTTCCGCTCACGATGCGTATTAATACACTGAACTTCGTGTCAAAGGTTGGTGTACGTATTTCCGGTTTCGTTGTCACTTTTTATATCTACGTGTGACGATCCCACAACATATCTTCTTGGTGGGGTATCAATTCTTAGTTCAAGATGGCAAATAAACAGCGCATGAGACTCGCTAGTGAAAAACACAGCAAAAATATCACAACTAGAGGAAACGTCCCAAAAACATTGGTAAGCTTTTGGATTAAAGGCAATACTACTAGTCTAGTAATCTAAATCTACCGGTAAGAGGATGAAGAAACTTCATTCTCCTCATCTTGATTCTTTCTAAGCTGCTGCTCAAGACACGGACAATTTGTAACCATATTGATTGAATGAAATTGTTAATCAAGTTTACATTAATAGTTTTTAAGTTAACTTTCCATGTTTTATATTTAAATCTCAACACTACGTTTATCTATTGTCCTGGGGTTTAATTACCTAGGCCACTAATTAAACAAAAAAAAGCAGAGCAGGGATCAGGCACACAGTTTTGAATCTTGATCTTGATTTTTAAACAAAATAAATCACAGTAGGCAAACACTTAACAGTAACACATTGTCGTCTTGTGGATCCAGTCTAGATTCTAGATCGAAATGAGTATGTGTAGAGTTGTCAGTTGAAGTAATAGTAAATCTAGGCCTGGCCTACCTGAATAACACCAATTTTGGTAAAAGTGTTATTCCAGTCTCAAGGATTTTGCTAAACAAAAAGTTTTTTTAGTGATTAGTATATTGGCCACTGACCCTTGAAATGTTCAAACCACAGTCCAGGAGTGGGATTTCTGATGATTCCATTGTCATTATATTTACTATGCCAAATCATTAGATCCAGCTACAATGGATTGAGAGTGGAATATATTGCTTTACTTAAACTTAATAGCCATAATAGCAATTTAATTTTAGGCCTACGGCTAGATATGAATAAGTGCACCTAGTTTATGGGTTCTTGCTTTTACTTTTCAAAGTGTCTACTCGGAATAAGATTTTTCGGGAAAAAGATAGTTCTGCGCATGCGCAGTGACCTATGGCTAGGGGTAGGATTAGGGATAGGGTTAAGGATAGGATTAGGGTTGGTATTAGGGTTCTGCGGCTGTAAACACACGCATGCGCAGTACCATCGAAAACATCGCCGCTAAGGCAAGTCGTAGTTTCTCTCCATTGCGCATGCGTATCGCATGCGTATCTTATTCCGACTAGAATCGGCCTTTACTTTTTTTAAGCCTGGGAATATTTCTATTGTTCTTTTTCTGGGGCAGATGAAGTTAAGTTTTATCTGATTCATTGACCACGGCATATAAAGGGATAGTGTAGTCAACACTATGCCCAGCCGCTTTTGTTTCCCTAACGTAAGCTAGGTACCAATCAGAGCTGGGTGGAATCAGGGTCGTTCCGCTGATTTGAATGCTGATTCAAACTTGAGACTTTCGGGTTAGCAGTCTAGCTCTCTACCGCTAGGCCACGCCGTCCCCTGGGCATATTTAGTAGTGGTAAATTTATTTATATTAGGTTGCAAATGTATACAACATGACCTCCGTGTTAATTTAAAATGTCATAGCCTGTACATTGTACACTAGCCTTAAGCCCATTTGTTAACTGTATTCTAGTACCTACTTTACAAATCCTGAAGCCAAAGGGATTTGAATTTATTATATAAGAAAACAACTTGTACCACCACTGAGTAATGGCTAATGCTAACTTTGCCTTACCATCAAACACATGCTTTAAGAATGATTAATATTTTTATAAAAGCTTGTCATCTGTTGCATTTTATTTTCCAGAAAAACTCCGAAGACAAATACCCTGTAGGACCTGCTCTGATGGCTTTGTTTCTCTTTGTTGTTTGCGGATCAGGTAAGATTATTAGTAGTGAAACAAATACCAAGAAAAGATAAATTTTACAATAATAAAAAATTATGTTAGGCAAGGTGTGCAGCTTGCATTCCTTCTGTGTTGAATTAGGTTACCATTCAGACAGACAAATGATTTACATTGTTTACTTGACTAACTTTTATTGGCTTTAGATTTAGAAATAGGATAAATGCAACAATTTAAATTCTAAGAAAAATTGTATGCTTTGAACAATGTTATGGAGTTTTAAAAATAATAGTGTGTTGTTTTTTTTTCCCAGCTGTCTTCCAAATCATTCAGAGCATCCGCATGTCATGACAGATGTCCCTAAAAGATGTAAATCTGTGAAATGGATGGAGGCCTCGACCTGGCTGCTAAACGTGTGAATGTGGAGAGTGTGTTGGTGATGAATGTTCATTTTGAAAGACTGACTATGTGCTCTTGCATTTTAAAAATCATGCCAGCAATCAGGTTATTAGTTTAACATCAATGCAATCCTGTGTTTACTATAGAGGCTGGTTATTCCGAGAATTGTATATGATTTTTAACTTAATAAGAATGCTGTTGATTATCTGGACCATTTTATTGGCAGTGTTTTATTCAATTTTAATTTGGTGAAACTTTCTCTTTCCCCTCGACATACAATCTCTATATCCTCCCTGGTGGTGGCGACAGAGATGAAAGCATTTAATAATTTAGAGAAAATCTTTATCCTATCCACCTTTACTTCCTCTATTCTTTGCAATGTGATTTTTAAGATATTATCATATAAAATTTAAAAAAAGGGAATAGTATACCGTGTATTTATTTTAAGTTACAGAATTTGTGATTTATAGGGATTCTTGCGGGCTGAGATCTGGTCTTGCTACTTAACCCTTTGAACCCTATGGCGTAAAACTTTTTGCCCACAGCAGTGGTGTTTCTTGACACTAATCTCTATACAGGTATCTTTCTACAGTTGATTGGGGTTAGTGACCGGTAGATGAATTAGCTAATCACGTTCACTTCTTTGGGCAGCAGGGTTGAAAGGGTTAATCTAAGGTTACAATAAAACTGTAGATCACAGGGTGTTGGTAGCTGTGTTATTTCTTTTGTTATCTGGTTTCAGAACTTCAAAATTCATGTTACGTTTTATTTATTTTAAATTGAGATTTTTGTCTTGTATCTTTGCCATTATGTTGCACAAAAGGAAACTCAGTGGTTTTTCAAAATTGATGAGTCAAAAATTAAATTTACTATTGTTAAAGCATTACAAATTGAATTGAAGTTATTTTTATCGTTTAAGTTAAGAATAGTCTGTTAATAAATTTGTTATTTTGAGCACTCCATAGGCACTGTCAGGTGACCATTAATATGCAGGTCATAGTATGGTAATTTAATTCAGTTCATATTATCTAAAGTATTGGGTTAGATGTGCTATCAATAAGTTTTTTAGCACTTAATTTCTAAAACAGTGCCTTGCTCATTAATTGCCATTTGCAAATATGCGCTAAAACACACTCCCTGGGATAGGGGTGGGAAGACGACTATTCTAACTTGAGATTACAGATTATTGACATTAAGATCAGTAATTGTTCTTTAAAAACTGACCAAGTTTTAGTGAATATACAGCAACATGTGCACTCCAAATTTATCTTGCTGCTGTGACCTAGATCTGTTTTGAGAACCTACCACATGTTGCCATCTCATGTTGACTTCATTAGCAACAAGTAATTAAGTCAGATGGTAAACAATAAGGGTAAATCCATATAGTGAGTTGGTAGATTTCTCCCTGTCTGGGCCTATATGTTACAGGAATATCTTATGAGATTGCTGCTTGCCAACTTTACATCAGGTCAAATTAGAAAAAAATGAGAACAATGTTAGGTATATATTGGTTTATTTGATATCCTAATACAATGACCCAAGTAAGAGGCCCCTGAAGGAATTTAAAATCTAATTCCTTACTACTAAATTTTTTAATGCTTGGTTCAGTTTTCAGCTAATTAGTGTTTCTGTTCAAAAGCTTGTACCAGGAGAAAAAAAAAGGGGGGGGGGGGGATAAATGGTAGTATGGGAACCCCTGTCATATGATGAGGACATGGTTGCAGACAAATCTGTTTAACAACATGACAAGCAAGCTATTCTGGTACAGGCTTGAAAACAATTTAGATAAGATCTATACTCAAGTCTAGTTTGTAAAATACAGCAACAATAAAAGAAATATTACAATCTTGAAAAAGTTTATATAAATAACTATAATACTAGAAAGTAAATAATAGCCTATGCTGCCTATACCCTTTAGATGTAAAGTATTTTGAAATTAAAAGTCAATTAAACAGCTCATTTACCCATCAAACTTGAGCATACACTGTAAATATTATTTAGACTTCAATTTTTTGCCAATTTCACACTTGTATTCTACTAAAAGCTGAATGCAACTCAAGAATTACCTCCAATTGTTGAGGGAGATATAAATAGCTGAAAACAAAACTTGCAAGCAGAGTAAGAAAAGTGGTGTTTTCATATGCTCATCTGTCTTAAGAGTGCTCACCACCATGATGGCAGCACCCTTGGAACAGAATCATGAAATACAATACAGATATCTGCTATGTAAACATCACTAACTCAAGATAAATAATCACAAGTAATAGAAATCTATAGAAACGGAATATCATTTTCATGGGATTAAAGTTTTTTTTAAATAAATCAACAATTTTACAGCCTCTAAACTGCACAGTGATAATATCCTATGGTCTTTTTAGTAATGTCTATCTACTTGAAGCATTGAAATGTGATATGGAAGAATAATATAAATTAGTTAACACAATGTTTGAAAAAAATCTATTTATAATCACTGTCTAATCCAGCGTTGAACAATCCGAGATAATAATGTCTTCATTCATGATATGATAAAGTGTGTATTAAAAGTTAAGCTTTTAAGATGCTTAGTCAGAATCTACTATAACTTTCAAGAAGTGTTCTGTTTTGCCTGTTACAATGTAGAAAAACAAGAATTTTCATTTATATTCTAAATACATTCTAAAAATCCAAAATAATGCACTCAATAGAATATTAACTCTAATAATCTGTTTTAAAACACATACAAAAAAATCTTGTAAGATGTTCTGTGGAAAACTTGATCAAAACTGAGTTGAGCCCATTTACAGTTCAGGAAAGAAAGTGTTCATTCATGTTAATGCATCAATAGATGTATCAAGAAGGTTATTTTAATAATTGTGTTTTTCACAATAATGAATCAAAGCAAAACAGATGGTTGCATATAATCAAAACAGGCACAAACATTCACCCTAATGAGAAATAATTTTCTGATTAGAAAACAAATATACATCAAACATTTCAACTATGTGGGACTGTTTGTTGCAGTACTCAAATTATATAATTATTTCTTTCATCCACATTCTTTGTTAAATAACACCGGTATTGTAACTGTATGCAGACAATGATTCTGAAATACTTTTTTTTTTACTTTAACCAAATAGTAACTTAAATTGTGCCTGATGGTGTAATCATGTACAGAGTTGATTGAAATGGACAACCCCAGCTTTTAATTTGCATGCCATTTTCAAAAATACACTAAAATTGTTCTAAGAATCAATCAGGTTGAAAATATTAAAAAATTACAGTACATAAAAACAATTTGGAATAACAAAAAAAAATTTTTAAAAAATCACAAAATTTTACAGTCCTTTAGTATTACAAAAACAGCAAGCATAAAATAAAAACCTGAAGCAAAAAATTAATGAAATAATATCCTTAGATTAATACCGATAAGCCATGGAAAAACAATCAATTGTTTGGTATTTATGGCACGTGTAGCTTCCTCTTTGTAATTAATGTGGAGTTTTCAAGATGATTTTTTTTAAAATGGTCTAATAGATACAAATTCACTTGTATAGTAGGCCACCCTCTTAGTAGTTTCTAGAAAGCTGAAAAAATATGCACTCCTACTTGTCAATAAATACTACAAATCTAAAAGGTAAAGTAAATGTCTGTTACTGGCATCCCATAGTTCAACAATCCAAACAAGGAATTAAAACACTACTCCAACTCAACGATGACATCTCCCTCATTGACTGTGTCTCCAGTCTTAAAATACACTTTCTTCACCTGAAAAACACAAAATAATTTTAGATAACTTTCACTATTAAAGTTTTGATATATGATCATTTTTAGGTCAGATTTAGATCTAAATATTTCAGTCAAGTGGGTGAGAATTACAGGATAAACGTTTCATAATTCCAAGAATGATAATGTAAAAGCATCTCTTGGAAAAAAGTGTTTATTAAATCATGTTTTTTACATGCTACAGAAAAAGAGGAATCTAGAGAAAAAAATCTAAGTTTAGCAGTTTAAAAATATTAGACCCTTGTAGCAGTATAATATATTAGATTATATATAGAAAAAGAGGAATCTAGAGAAAAAAAATTAAGTTTATCAGTTTAAAATATTAGACCCTTGTATGTAGCAGTATACTATATTAGTTCATGTTTTTGACTTGCCTTTCCAGCCTTAGCGCTGACCAAACTGTTTTGCATTTTCATGGCCTCAAGAACACAAACCTCCTGGTGCTCAGCAACCTTTAAAAAAAAAACTTTTTTATGCCAAGTTTTCTATTTAATAAAGCTCATTGATTGTACCAGACAAGAAATTTTTTATACACCTATACAAAGAGCTTTTTTATAAAGCGAATAGCTGATACAGAGTCTATTTGGTTAGTGGTACTAATACCCTTGGCCTTACACTTTGCCCTAATCCTTGCCCCATCTTTACCCCACCACAACAATAATAATGGCAAAGAAAAACTTAGAAATTTGAAATAGTCTTTTGCAGGGTTGTCTTTTAAGAGGAATAAAATAAAGGCTTACTTAATCTGAAGTTGAAATAGAGGGTGTTGATAGTTTACAGTAGTTTTGTGACTGCTTAGTCATTTGGTTGTAATGGTTGAATAGTTGAGCATACGACTGCTAACCCAAAAGTCTAGGGTTTATATGCCTCAGTTCACCCAGCTATGATGGGTACCTGACTTACATTGGGAAAGGTAAAGGTAGATGGGCATAGTGCTGACCCTGGGCATAGTGCTAACCCTGGGCATAGTGCTGACCCTGGGCATAGTGCTGACTATCACTTCATATACCAATGTCAAATAGTTGAACTCTACTTAGTCGCCCCATGAATCACCAGGTTTGATAGGATAACTTGAGAGTGAGTCCCACCTATTACTTAGTTAAAAACTAGCGGTTGAACTTACCGTATCTCCAGGTGCTGTGCTGACTGACCTCAGCATGCCAGGCATGGGTGCCATCACCAGAGTACTTGTGTCCACAACCTTCTTCTCCAGCATGTGCTCATTCAGCTGATAGGCCAAATCATCCAGCACAGTCACGGGGTACTGGGGAAACAATGGTCAATCAAGCATGTCAGTTACAACTAGGCCAAGTCATCCAGCACAGTCACTGGGTACTGGGGAAACAATGGTCAATCAAGCATGTCAGTTACAACTAGGCCAAGTCAGCCAACACAGTCACTGGGTACTGGGGAAACAATGGTCAATCAAGCATGTCAGTTACAACTAGGCCAAGTCATCCAGCACAGTCACTGGGTACTGGGGAAACAATGGTCAATCAAGCATGTCAGTTACAACTAGGCCAAGTCATCCAGCACAGTCACTGGGGTACTGGGGAAACAATGGTCAAGCATGTCAGTTACAACTAGGCCAAGTCATCCAGCACAGTCACGGGGTACTGGGGAAACAATGGTCAATCAAGCATGTCAGTTACAACTAGGCCAAGTCATCCAGCACAGTCACGGGGTACTGGGGAAACAATGGTCAATCAAGCATGTCAGTTACAACTAGGCCAAGTCATCCAGCACAGTCACTGGGTACTGGGGAAACAATGGTCAATCAAGCATGTCAGTTACAACTAGGCCAAGTCATCCAGCACAGTCACGGGGTACTGGGGAAACAATGGTCAAGCATGTCAGTTACAACTAGGCCAAGTCATCCAGCACAGTCACGGGGTACTGGGGAAACAATGGTCAATCAAGCATGTCAGTTACAACTAGGCCAAGTCATCCAGCACAGTCACGGGGTACTGGGGAAACAATGGTCAAGCATGTCAGTTACAATAACTAGCTGGAGAACTCTAGGCCAAGTCATCCAGCACATTCATATGATGTTTGCAAATTGTGGCAAGACAAATTCTCTCAGGATAAAAACTCCATATAATTATTCAACATTTTGAACAAATTGCAGTAGTAGGTTGGTGCATCGAGAGAGCCATGTCTGTAGTACCAGGTATGTATAAATAAATATTTGTAACCCATAGGTACACTATGAGATCTAAATCATTGGAAAGGGTTCTATTGGTTTTAAAAACTAAAGACTAATTGTTTTGACAAAGATATTTCTTGTATGTGACATTTCCTATGTTCTAACCATGTCTGGATTGCAGATACACGTTATTGACACAAAGACTTCATGCACTTAGAACTATGATTGTTGTGTTATTTGATACATTATGCAGTCAGCACTGTTGTAAGTGATATTGACATTTTTGTTTCAAAGTGAACCCTTACACCGTGGATTACACTTGCATTTCAATTATACAGTTTTAGCTGTTTAAGTTATTGGAACACAGTGAAACATTACCGTATATTGTCAAAACAATGGAAAATAACACTTTAAAACATAATTATTTTACTGTTAAGATGTATAAAAGAAATTTAGTATTGATAACCATAGAATCTTGAGTTCTTGAAAGCTCTATGGCAATTTTAAAAATCTGAGGTATATACTACTCGCTTTACATTTACCTGAGGTAATTTGTGATTTCGTCTATGAGATACGTTTCTATATACCATAGAAACAATGTTCATTAAACTGTCATAACTGAGTTTAAAACAACTAAAGGAAACTTACAACAGTGCCATGGAATCTCAGATCATATTTCCCACCTCCACGTCTTTGGTTGATCTGTGGGATAAAAAATGTTCAACCTGTATAAAAGGAAACTAAAAAGAAATAAAATTTCCTAGTGTTACAATTTAGGCACATGTCTGTTGTGGAAAGCATTAGTATTTGTCAACAGTAGTATCAAGCCAAGGAAATACTTGAGCAAAAATATTCCAGAACATTTCATGACAAAAAGAGCAAGAAAAAGCCCTGCTTAATTCAATATACAACAAAGAAAAGGCAGGTCATCTTAAACTAGGAGACTAGGTTGTTGCACTGATTGCCTCTAGGTTTCCAGCAAGAAATCACAGAGACTTGCAACTCAAAAAAAAGGCAAACCCATTTGAATATAAACTAAAATGTACAAAGATTTTTTAAAGCTACTTACTGTTTAGACCACAAGAACAAAATTTACCTGCAACAATCTCTGCTCTCCATTGAGTGTGATGTCCATTAGAGGGGAGGTAAATGAAAGATTGCCTTTCACTTCAAACACATCCCCAGCAATAACAACCTGACAAGTTAATACAACATTAATTAATGCAATTTCAAACAGAATCCTCATAGTTGACAGAATCATTTAAAGTAAGGTGTGGCAACAATTTAGTTATATCAAACCACCAAGTTTTAACTAAACTCCAGCTGTAAAGCAAATGTCTCACCTTGAATCCTTCTTGCTTCTTGGTTACCTGAGCTTGGATACGAACTTTGTTGATCAGGGTGTTGAGGGACCAGGTGTTCTTCTTGGATTCAGTCACAGGAATCCTAGAAACAATCACAGAATAAAATAAACTCATAACTATGTCTTTGAGTAGATTATTTAGCTATGTACACAAATCTCATTGGGTTAAAAATATTACAAACTCTTGCTCAACCAGGTAGAAACTTAAGTCATTTTGTAAAAATTTCAGATCAGCACCAAAAGAAAATTGTAATTATCCAAAAAATGTAAACATCCAAGTGAAGTTTAACAAGTAATCTTAAAATTAAAAATAGCTCTGATAGAGCACATGGCACAAGGGATAGGAATAGGAAAATGCTAAGATATATGCTCAGTATGACTTTCTAAACTGAACATACAAATCTCTATTAAAATTAAAAACATGAGGGATTATGTCAGCTGACCTTCTTTGGTTGATGAATGTTCTAGATCTTTGTTGGTCCTTGAGGTAGACAGCACAAGCCAAGGCTGTCAACTCCTGGCTTTCTCTCAAATTCAGCTGTTTGCCTGGAACCATACAAAACATTTATGAAGCTTCTAGTGTTATATGGAAGTTTGTGTACAACATAAAAACCTGGCCATCAGGTTTCTTTAGACCACTGGCATTGATTTTAGAGTACATGTGCATTTCATTTTGACTTAACTATTTTAGCTGATGAACAATACATTTTGTATCTTCAAACAATGGCATCTTTAATATTACTGCTTAACCATAAAAAGCATGGATTTTTATCAAATCTGGAATTCTGAGTCAATTTAACACCCATCAAAATAAAATGTAATAAACCGGCAAAAAATTATTGATCAATTTCTTTAAATTAAATTGAGGAAATGTATGAATTATTTTTAAAATTATTTTAGACAAATTTTGAGATTTATTTTCTCCTACAAATTTAAATAATAGTAATACAATTGAACCTCAAAATGTAATAGATAGATACATATATTTTGTGATTAGGGGTCATTCATTTATGACGTCCACACGGGGAGGTGTGTCGAAAATCCAAAAAAATTGTGGACGTCATAAACGGATGACCCCTTATGATGAAGGGTTTTCATTTATTATTAAAATCCTGAAAATATACCCTACATGCTTGAAAAAACCTTACCTTTAAAACCATCAGGGTACACCTCTGGCAAATAGTTTGTGCTTATATCCCCTTTAATAAATCTTTCCTCTGTTAGTATATCCCTGAGTAATGGTATATTGTGAGTAACACCTGATGAAAAAGGGAAAACATAGCATGAGACACTTTAAAAATACTAACTTGTAACAAATATTACTATGTGGAACTATTTTATATTTATTTGTTTTCATGAAACTAGTTTTTTTATCCTGGATCTTTTATTTTATAAAAATATTTTTAAAAGTGAGACCCAACCTTTTATAACATAAGAATCTAGTGCAACAACCATTGTATCTAAGGCGTGGCTCCTGTCCTTGCCATAGGTTACTAATTTACAGATCATTGGGTCATAGTAAATACTTATTTCACTGCCCTCCATAATGCCACTGTCACAGCGCGTCTGAATTAGAAACAAAACAATCCAAATTGTTGTATTAATATATAGATGTACTAGTCAATAATTTGTGTAGCATTGGAGTAGACAAAGAATCCCTTTTTAAGCCAGACAAACAAAACAAATAGTAAATGTATAATAGCTATTTGAGATTTTTTTTTAAAGTATTGATTTAGCTTAAAATAATACTCAAAAACAGTCAGTTACTAAAAATGTGTTCTAGAGTTGGTTACTTCCAAATTTGTTAATGAATTTGCTGTAATGATAAAATAGGTATATTGAATTTTCAAATATATTTAATAACCAAGTGCTTTATCAAGTGCATCCTTGATACATTAAAGTAAAAATTCGGCTTCAAATTTATTTCAAAACAACATTAGTAAAGAGCAGGCTTTTGGATATATTTAGTTTTATAAAATTACAGAAATGTTAGCATTTTTCCACCATTTTTTTTTTTAAACACATATTTGTTCAGATACTTACATTAGGAAGGTGTGTTGGCTCAACATAACGAGATAATCTTCCTATAGATGGCATTCCAAAGTTTTTGAACGGGTCCTAATTGATTTAAAAATGTGTATGTTAATTATTTTTGTGCATAAAAAATAGTTTGGTTTAAATATAACAAATTAGAATTTTTAAACATGCTTTCTGTAAAAAAAAAATTAAAAAAAATTAACTTATATTCACCTCAGCATAGACACGACACTCCAGGGCCCACCCATCTACAGGGATGTCAGCCTGTTGGTGCAACAGCTTGTGTCCGTGCGCCACCCTCAGCATCTGATGGACAATGTCTACGCCTGTGATCATTTCAGTGATTGGATGTTCCACTTGAAGGCGAGTGTTCATCTCCAGGAAGTAGAAGTTTTTATTTCTGTCCACTAGAAACTCAACTGTGCCTGATCAAAGTACACAAAAGGTGGTTATACATGAACACAACAAAACACACTAATTATAGTAATTTCATTTTACACAGTCGCTATAACAATTAAAAAATTGAAATAAAAGAATTTTGTTGAAAATTTAACCATCAGAACATACCAGCAGAATCATAGCCAACAGCCTTAGCTAGTCTACATGCCTGCTCTCCCATTGCTTTACGAGTTTCTGGGTCTAAAAATACACTGCAATGGAAAAAAAAGAAATTATATTATTTTGTCGCACAGACATATTTATCTTAAGGTCTACTCACACATGAAGTTGAAAGTGTTTAAAAATATCTACAAAAAACAATCACTTTGAAATATTCTCTTAACATAATTTCTATTCTTTGAATGTTTTAATAATATTGAGTGATCACTAAATTAATGTGAATAAAAGATGGGAAGTGAAGTGCTAGCAAGGTCATCACTTCTTGTCAAGTTAGTGGTAGAGGCCTTAGAGGTACAAACTAAATTACCAAAAATATTTTAGCTCTAAGTATTTTATAAAGGAAAGCACCTTAATGGTGAGTTTAAAAAAAATAATTTAGTAAATAAAGAAGCTAAGAGCTTTCTTTAACGTTGAGGAGAAAAAATTCTTTAGTAAGGAAAGAACCTGGGAGCCTCCTCTATAACTTTTTGGTTTCTTCTTTGAATGGAACATTCTCTCTCATTGAGCCACAAGCTGTTGCCATGTTTATCACACAGCACCTACAAGAAACGAAAATAATGCACATGAAAAAAATATTTCAAAACATGTACAAATACCTAATTAAATAATGAAAAATTCACTGTAAAAAGATTTTTAATTAAAACTTGCAATCAAAAGGTACAAACCTGTATTTCAATATGCCTAGGGTTTTCAATGAATTTCTCTATTAACATACGATCATCGCCAAAACTTGCTTTAGCCTCTTGTTGGGAAAGACGGAAGGCAATTCTGAAAAATAATAAAACATATAAAATGGAATAATCTCAAACTCAATTTTGTTAATGTGAATATCAATTATGGAAATATTTTTACTATTTGTAAAATGTGTATATCAATAAACTCTCAATTGAGAGCAATGTGAGAACATCCAATACTGACCTAGCTTCCTCATCATTATGTGCAATACGCATCCCCTTACCACCACCACCTGCTGAAGCTTTGATCATCACAGGGTAACCTGTAGACAGTTATAAAATGCCCCAAAATAACAGGCCTGAATATAAAGATATATAAAGATAAAGTATAAATGATTAAAAGATAATTATTAGCCAATTGTTATTAGCCAATTTTTATTTGTCAGTTGCCATTTTCTGTTCATTTATAAAAGTATTTTAATATCATAGTAAAATTATATTAATAATATAACATTAAATTAATATATAGCTTTATTTTCACAAAAAATCAAAAGTCCAGAAAATGTACCTATATTATTGGCCAGCTGGACACAGTGGTCAGCATCTTTAATGGCGCCATCATAGCCTGGGATCATGTTGACCCCAGCTTTGGCAGCTATCCTCTTGCTTTCAATCTTGTCTCCCATAGCGTGGATAGCTTCACTGTTGGGACCCACAAAAGATACACCAATTTCTTTCTGAAATAATAGATTTTAACAATTTACATTTAAATCCAATTTCAATTGAATCATTCACAGATCATAGCTGCTTCTTACATAGATTTAAAGCTTCAGAGTAAGACAAATAAATTTCACTCCAGTATAAAAAATCTACAAGTATTTGAGTGATAAATAAATTAAAACTTACTAATCGAGCTGCAAATACTGTATTTTCTGATAAAAAGCCGTATCCAGGATGTACCTAAAAAGTACATTTTTTAATGCTAGAAAAAGTTTAAACATGTTAGAATAATAAATATCTGAGTATCTGTTTTACTTTTTTATAACATTTTAAACAAAACAAAATAAAACATATACAGCTTGAGCCCCTGAGTCCTGAACAGCTTTCAAAATTTTGTCCATTCTGAGGTAGCTCTCACTAGTTGGTGCTGGCCCAATACACACAGATTCGTCAGCCATTCTCGTGTGAACCTGAAAGCATCAAATAGGTTCAACTGTATCTGCTGACAGGACAGATAACTCTGTGCTGAGTTGCACCAGAAATGTTATGTACTTACTGCAAGAGCATCTGCTGCACTATGTACAGCCACAGTTTTAATGCCAAGCCTTCTGCATGTGTTGATCACACGACAAGCTATTTCTCCTCTATTCGCTATCAGAATTTTGTCAAATTTCTGCAGGCAAAAAAAAAATAGATGCCATTTTCTGACTGTATAGTATCATATGAATGAAACAATGTAAAACTAACAAATAAGATTATGTGAAATTATTCATAATGGAACAATTTTTTGTAAGCATTTAAATAGCAGAACAACAGCTATGGTAGATTGCTTACAGCTTCATCTGTCTGGAATTTATCATTCCAGTACATTTCTCTGTCGTACAACTTCATGCTGGTGTAGATGGTTCTCTTGTATCCACTAACTGACAAGTGCAAGTTTTTCTGCTGTTATAAAAATAAACAATTCATGATTAATTTATTTTAAATATGAACCTGATATTATCAAATGTATGAATATAGACTCAATTTAAAGGTGAGTATTGTTATGAACGGTATCTTGGGTCTTGCAAGGGTTTGAGAGTATGTGTGTTGTGGAATGATTTATATTAATTTAATAAAACTAATAAAAGACTGACTGTGTGTTAGTACAGTCTTTGGCAATATTGTCATGTTGTGCTAGAGTGTGAATTATTAGTTCCGTTGTGTATGTTGTAGTCAAGTCTTTGTATACGTTGTTGTTGTGAAAGTTGTCATAGTGTAAGCTGTTGTCCATGTCTATCAAGCTAGTGCAATACAACAGGGATTGAAACTAGACTATCTTGTCGAGTCATTGTATCAAATCATCATTATTGATAAATCCATGCTATAAGGTAGATTGACCCCGGCCTAAACTCTGTTCATAACAGGTGCGTTATTTGTAGTTTACTAATTGATATTACTGTAAAATCTAACCCAAGCCAGAATCATAAAATGGTTTTGAAAAGATCTTGGACGTCATTATAAAGCATTAATCTAAAACAGGAAATGATAAGTAATTAGTAGTAACTAGATCTACAAGTAAGCTATTAAGTTATAAAGACTATTACAGTGGTGGGGTATTTTTCATACAAGTTTACAACAATTCTATAACTTATATAGTTACAAGGAAAACTGTTTTTTTTAAAAGGGGTTGATCTACCTTTACCTTACATCAACTTCTAGTTTTAACTAAACTGTTAGCTTGATTAAAAAATAGCTTTGTAATGTCGACACTAACTGAATAACCTTAAATTGGTTGACCCAGACTCTAGTGTCTAGACCTATGTATGACCATACTTTTATGACCTACAGTGTAGGCCTAGTGAACTAGTTAAGTTGTTAACTACTTAGTGTACTAGTTAGGCTATTACTTTTATTAATGAGGCCTTAAGTATTTTATTTAGGCCAAGGGGGCCTACTAAATTCCAGTGTCTGATATTGCCACAGTGATGGAATCTTCATTATCTTTATAGGGCTAGATTTCAATTTATAAATAAATCAATGACAAATAAAACCCCAAGGATAAGTAATAATAAGTAACATTCAATATCTACTCATTGACCCCATCTGACAGTGACCCCTTTGACCTGCAACAATTAATACAACAGCCACAACTAAAGAGCTCTGACTCTAGTCAAGTTCCTAGACTAGTCATCTAGAAATCTAAATCTAGTGACAGTCTAATAACTAGATCTAGATCTAGAATCTAGATCTAGTAGTGTAACTGTAAGTAATAAGTAAGTAGTAAGTAGTGTAGTGACAAAGTGAGCAACCCATTTTTTTTTACATAACATAGCCTTTTTTTGGGCTAGACTTGCTACTTGCTAGATTTCTAGATTCTAATTCTAATCTAGATCTAGAGAAAGTATCTAGATCTAGCTTAGCTACTAGTTTACCTACCTCCTTTTTTTTTAAAAAGAAAAACAGATTATTTAAAGATATCTACTGTAACTAGATCTAGATAGGCTAACTAGCCAGATTAGAATTAGATATTATAATGATAATTTGATAATACAAGTGCCAGATGAGGAAAAAAGGGAATACAGATCTGCTGTGCTGATTATTTGATGAAAATTGTTTTACATTAGATAGTCTAGTAGATCTAGATCTAGATCTAAATCTAGTTATTCCTTTCCTAGGTTCTAGAATCTAGTTTTACTTTTTAAAAAATAGGTTAGTGCGGTGGTTTGTTTTTTCGACCTGACCCCTGCGCACTACTAAAGACTTTAAGTTTTTAGTTAATACCAATGAGTATAAGCAAGCCTAACTGTAATAGAATCAGTGCAAAGCACACAATATGCATTTTTCAATAAAATCATAAATAAATGAACAACCTTAGAACATTGATACAACCCAAATAAAAATCTTCCCCTGAAGTTGTATCCGTAGAAATTGATGGGCGCAGCCATATTCTGTAACGTAACTTTCAAAACTCGGATACGTTGTACATTATACAGGACGAATGAAACAGAACAATGTTCTTGACCTAGATCTAGATCTAGATTCTATTTTCCTCCGTTCACGAATAACAGCGAAGTGTTTATTTTGGTTTATTAACATCTTCACGCTTTGTTCATGAATTGTGTTTTCAGTTAAGATAGGCCAGAAAAGAATAATTACGACAGCTCTCTAAAAATAAACAAATTTTATTTGAGTGCAGTGAATAAGAATACGTAATAGCTTTTAAACACTCTACTTACTATGTTTATAAAAATATATTCAATATAGGCCTCCCCCGAAGGTCTTCATTATACTATTGCTTAATTAGCCTATAACACCGGTAGGCTTACATAAATTTAGCTCCTTTGAAGCAACGTCAAATAGGTAATCTTCTAACCTATTTACAGAACAGGGGGTGTAACCTAACTTTGTCTATATTTTTCAATACTAAGAATAAATGGGCTATATCCAAACAAATTATTGTAATCTAGGCCTTTATTGAACAAATGTAACATTATAGGTTAGTGTCAGACCAGGTCACAAAAATTATGTCGGCATTTAAAATACATTATTTACGTCCCATGAGTTAAAACAACTTTTTAATATTTGGCACGGTATGGATTATATTTAAATAGTAGGCCTATACTGCTACGCATGGCCAGTAGACACACACACAGGGGCGGGTTTTTAATAAACATCGTGGGGTGTGTGGTACTGTCGGGGAACTCATATTTAAATGGCAACACATTCTTAATAGTCCTGGAAATTTAAAAAAAACACAGACACACCAAACAGATTTAAGCCATAGGTGACTTTGCGCAAGATAAATCCGTCCCTCTGTCGTCCACTGTCATCGAGTAAACTCATTACGCTAAATGTATTTCTCAATGGTACTTGCAAAAGCTGAGAAAAATTATGGATAGGTTGCTTTCACTATTTCGGGTACAATCACCAACCATAATGACATACATGGCACCTATGGAGGACCCCACTCCCCCAAGCTCGTCTATCGCTCCCATTCCCCCCCCTCCCACGAATCTAGTCTATCGCCCATCCCCATCCCCCACCCCACCCCCCCCCCCCAACGATTTTTTTTAATTTATATAAAAATATTTACTTTAATCCAGTGGCGTAGCGAGGTTGGGTGTCACCCGGTGCGGCACCTAATGGTGTCACCCCCCCCCAGAGGCATAGAGACCCTTCCCAGGGACAAACTTTCAAATTTTCGATTTGCACCCCCCCCCCTCAAGTTTTCGATTTGCACCACCCCCCTCAAACTTTCGATTTGCACCCCCCTCGAGTTTTTCTCTATATATTTTGCTATTTTTTGCCTTAGTGTCACCCCCCTAAATGGTGTCACCCGGTGCGGTCCAGGGTGCGTCCATTGTCTTCAAACATCGCCACCTATGCATACAGTGTTTCTTCTAGACTTTTTTCTCCAGGGGGGGGGGGCACTTGATATTTTCGGGGAAGGGAGGGGGGGGGGGCGGAAACATTTTTCGGGGGGCGGACATTGGTTAAAGTATGTTTTCTATATAAATTCCATCTCGTTCGGTGGGGGGGGGGCGGTAGAAATGCCTTGAAGAAATTCTGTATGCCTATTTGGTCCTAGTATAAACTTGGACTTAAAGTTAACCTAATAAAACGACTTAGTACGAGTATGAAAGACAGACTTGCAAGTCAACATGTGACCTAAAATACACACGAGGTTAAAGGTTAAAAGCCACTAGAAGGAAAATTAAATATCTCAAAATATAGAGAGAATCTATATATTCAAATCGTCTATCCACCCCCCCCCCCCCCACCCCCATTAAAAAGCAGATAAACGCTGGCTAGATCTTCAGCTTTAATGGAATTGTAATAATGGAAGTGTAATAAATAAAACATTTTTCTACGTTAATTATGTTACTGGCATTAGCACTGAAATGTAATGCAATTTGATATCAACATTGATGGATTTTGGTGTCTTTTGAAATTCATATCCGGACTTACAGGTTGAGCTTAAAAAATGGTCTTATCGTTTCGATGTCTATGAGTTTGTTTCACTAAAATAGAAATTTTAGTTTTCATATTGATCAGATAATTTGTGAATATTTGTTAGATACGCATGTAGGCAGAGGTGTAGCGGGGGGGGCGGGCGGGGGTCACACCATTTAGGGGGGTGACACCAAGGCAAACAATAGTAAAATATATAGAGAAAAATGATAATTCCACTGAATTAAGTGATTAATTCGAGTGTGAAATAGTCTTTTAAGAGGTGCAAATGGAAAGTTTGAGGGAGGGGGGGGGGGTTGCAAATCGAAAATTGAAAGTTTGTCCACGGGAGGGGTCGCTACGCCTCTGGAGGGGTGACACCATTAAGTGCCACACCCGACCTCGCTACGCCACTGCGTATAGGCCTAAGTTTTCAATCAATTTATTAAAATACTTTACTTTCCTCTTGAGCCCGAAACAGATAAACAACGAACGAATTTTAAATAACACCCCTGCGTTTTGGCCTTAACAAGAAAACGAAAAAAAAAAAAATTCTCCTGTCATCTGAATCTACTAACTAAACCAAAACTAATAAAAACGGTACAAGGGGCGGTAACTACAGTCAAAGAACTACAGTGAGTTCTCTAGCCTGCTGGGTCCCTCCTGTCACGCATGAAAGAGCTCTATAAAAAGCATTCATTGTTGAAAATACAGTAAGGTTGACTGCCTCTTCTTAAAAAAAAAAAAAAAAAAAAAAAAAACCTGTGGCATTTTTTTTTCAGTCTAAAGATATGTAAATAGAAGTTTTTGGGGCAAATCCGCGCGACTTGAAAAGTGAGTGTTCTTACAAGTTTCTTGAGTTAAATTGAAAAGAGCAACTGACATACAACTGAAATACTTGAAATAGCTGAGATTTAGTTGAAAGCGTATAATTCCATGTCAGAAATAATATTTGAGCTTAGACGATTATGATTGTTTTCGCCACCTAAAATTTTCTACGTTAAATTCCCTTTCAAACCTGATAGTCTATGGGGCACCTGTTTCTGTGACCTCGGTAATAGATAGTGTGGTCAACACTATGGCCAGCCGCCTTTACTTCCCCTAACGTAAATAAGGTACCCATTTGGGGTCAGTGTTTCTTCTAGTAGACTTTTCTCCGGGGGGGGGGGGGCACTTGAAACTTTCGGGGGGGGGGTGGACACTGTTAAAAGTATATATTTTCTATATAAACTATATAAATTTCATTTCGTTCGGGGGGGGGGGGGGGCGGTAGAATTTTTTTCTCCCGAAGAGATGCATGGAAGAAACTCTGATTAAGGTTAGGTGGATTTAGAGATGTTCTATTGAATTGAACACGGATTTGTACTCGAGACTTTCGGATTAGCAATATCATTAAAAAAAATAGTTAGCTTGCATATCAACTATGACCAACGTGCAGTTTCTACAAAGAAAATCTGTCAATTAATCTGTTTAACAAAATGTCATTGATCGTAAAGCCTCTCCACCCCTCCCCCCGATTAACGCGAACATATTTTGTACTGCATAAAATTAGTCATATGCACTAGGAATATAACATAACACCACCCCTCCCAAAATGGACTTGTCCAGCATAATAGACTGGTCCAGTTGCAGATAAGAACCCGTCTCATCATTTCAAAGCTAACCGTTGGTCACTAAAGGTTAGAGGCTACAGGTCAAGCTAAGGGAAATAACTGCCACTAGAATCTCACAAGGAATAGTGTCATTTATCCTATCAAAGCTTACCTCTTGTCATTAAAGGTCAAAGGTTACATGTATCACATTTGCCCTAACAAAACTTTCCCATCTTTAAACTTGATCTATATTTTCTAGTAGACATTAAAAGGCGAAGACAGCTTTTTTTTTAAATTTTTTTTATTAAGAAGTGTAGCAAATCTAGATACATTTTTAAACTGATACTTTCTCCCCCCCCCCCCCCCCCCCCCTTCCATTATATTACACTGCCTGTTTTTCAACCAAAATATTAACGGAACAGAAAGCAAGCAGAAACCACGAGCTATAATCATAATGGCTATTCTAATACAAAATATTGATTCACGAATTCAAGAAAATGAGAAAATCAATGCACATTGAAAATTAGCATTTTCTTGGAAGCTCTGACGTTGGTTAATTAAAATAAATAGACTACTTACTCTGAGTCAAGCCTGTTGTTTATACGAAACAATATTTCACCAGCATAATATTAGTAAAGCAATATCCATTCAGGTACACATGCACAAGTAAACGAACAGTACAGAAGCCGGTTTACACCCCCGCTGTACCCCTTCACCTGTGTGTACCTAGTCGTCTGCAGACATTGCCCTGTTAATCTCACCCCATACCGGCTGGTGACCCGCGCCTCTCCCCTCCCGCCCCCGGCTCGCGTCGCCAAAGCCCCCGCTTGCGCCGTGTCCAGTAGGCCGGTTCGTCCCGTTTCAGTCGCCAGTTGGTTGATAAAATACCGGGTACACGACTGTAGTAAATGGACAACTGCTTTACTTCCGGTAAATTTTGTAAACAATACAACCAATGGCGGATCTGGGGGAGAGGCATAAATAATTTTAAAAAGGCATATCAAGTGTTAATAGTTTGCATATTTGTATAGGTTTTTGTCAAATATGTGTTGATCTCAATATCTGTATCTTATGTGCACAGTTTTAAAAAATGGGCGACTCTCGGTAGTGACACGGTCGCCTGTCCCTCTTCTCATATATATATATATATATATATATATATATATATATATATATATATATATATATATATATATATATATATATATATATATACCCCAACACCTCAAAAACACCATCCAAGGCTTAATCCGTGATGTGTCTAGGCGGGTTTCCAAGGCTGAACATGATGTACCCCAATAGTTGGGTGGATGTTTTGTGTATTTGCGTGTGTGTCTGTTTGTGTCTGTGTGCGTGTGTATTTGTGTGTGTGTGTGTGTGTGTGTGTGCTGTAAAATGTAGAGCATAGTTTTTCTGGTCATTGGAAGGTCAAGGGCACTAGATACTGGTACAACAGCACTGGTGTGTCTAGTTTTGTCTGGAAGAT